CTGCTCAACAAAGGCTGTTTTTAAGGGGAGAAAGAAAAATCACCCCTGAAAATTTGTGACTAGTTCTAGTGTTTGTAAAGATTGAGGTTAAAGTGAGTGATTTGTTGTTAATTTTGAAGAACAAAGTCCTCCAGTGTACAAGAGATTTAAAGAAAAATTACCTGACAAATGGCCATCTTATTGGGGTGCTGAATGTAGCTGGTACCCTCAGAGAGCATGCACTTACTATCAGAAGATCTTTATCACACTAATGTATTTCCCCTGATTGAAATGCTAGGTTAAGCCTAGCCTGCTTGGCAACATTATTATAAAGTATAACATTCCTGCTATAATTAGCAGTGAAGTAGTGAAGTAAATAGGTAGTGATATACTTACTCACTTTGGTGCAATCAGCTCAGCACAATTTGATGGCCTAATTTGATGGTGTTTAATAGAAAGAGAAGTTATAGCAGGGAAATCTCTCTCTCTCTTTTTTTTTTTTTTTTTTTGTAATCTATGATTATTTTTTCTTCTGAAATGTGTGTACAAGAATCTCAGCAGGTATGCTGAAAAGCTAGTACAACCTGATGAGAAATAGTGGTCAATCACTTCAGATGGCCAACAAATTTCAAAACAATCTGTCCCTTCCTATATACTCAAGTTTGGGTCATTTGTTTTGTTGTTTTAAAATGGCTGTCAGAATTAACTTAGTGCAACCACTGTTGACCAACAGACAAAGCTGTCTGCCTGTAAATAAGCCTACAGCTCCAAACAGTACAAACTGGGCACAGGCTTAGAAAAAGGCTCTTGGTAATCTGTATGGGAAGACAAGGGCTATGTGCTTTCCAGTAGCTGCCCTTTTTTTTGAGACGCGCAGGCAAAGGTTTGGCTAAGAAGCCAGTGGGCCTTTTGCTGTGACTTATAGGTCCCCAAGTTTGTCTTGACTGAGGTAACACTGAAATTGAAGTATGGCAACTGCCACAGTTCTGCTCTGATCTCATCTCAGGCTTGCAGCAAGCAAGGCTACTTATCTAGGAAACAGTATGTAGCTGATAGAAGTCAGTTAATTCTGAGAGCTAATATTTGCGTGGCTCCCCATTGTACTGTGTGGAGCTCAGTGTAGCAGGTGACTGCCTAGAGCTGCTCCTGAGGTGATAAGCATCTGGCTTTGCTATTTAATTCAGCTGGTTACAGTTCCTATAAGAGAAGCTCAGTGCTGCTGCCAGCATCACCAAGGAAGAGTTGACAGGCTGGTATAGAAGGGAAACTGCTCCTGGAGAAGGTGATAACCTTCTGGAGTTGCAACAACCCCTGCTTTTCTCTGTACTTCTCCTTGCAACATAGATCTCTTCAAATCACTCCTTTACCTCTGCATCCTAACTTTCTCTCTTTGATCACACCCTCATATACTCTGTAGTGTGACAAGTCTGTTTCCACATATAAAAAGTCTTCAGTGAATTTAATTATGTACTTGCATGATGCTTTGCACCAAGTGAAACAAACAGCACTTTCTCATATACATTTATTCACCTCCATACGGGTGTTTTTATGACAGAACTTTGACATAGTCTTACTAAAGCTAATGGAAGAGAAGCTTAAATTATTATTAAGAATCTGAATTTGATCAGGTGTCAGTTATGTTCCATCTTCTTTTCTAAATCTAACTGTAGTTTTTGAGAAGGCTCCAAGGAGACCTCATTCCAGACTTCCATTACTTGAAGGGATCTTACAAGCAGGAGGGGGACCAATCTTTTACATGGTCTGACAGTGATAGGACAGGGGGAATAGCTTTAAACTAAAAGAGGGGAAGTATAGCTGAAATGTTAGGAGAAAATTCTTTACTCAGAGTGTTGAGGCACAGGCACAGGCTGCCCAGAGAAGCTGTGGATGCCCCATCCCTGGAGATATTCAAGGCCAGGCTGGATGGGACCCTGGGCAGCCTGAGCTGGTGAGTGACAGCCCTGCCCACAGCAGGAGGTTGGAACTGGGTGGGCTTTGATGTCCATTCCAACCCAAGCCATTCTATGATTCCATCATTTTGATGAGATTCAGCAGTAGGCAAAACTGAAAATTTTCATGTTATTTCTAAATCTGATATTCTTCCATTTCAAATTTCCATTTTGCGAAAAGAAATCTTATGGTATTACAGAACAGGAGAGATTAGAACCTTTTCACTCTGCCTTTTCTTGGTTATCTGCTGTCAAGATCTTCCGAACAGTCTTTGTTTCCAAGCTCAATTTTTTGAGTGAAAGAACATGTATCTCTAGAAAAGAAGGAAGGAGAGAAGGAAGGAAGGAAGGAAGGAAGGAAGGAAGGAAGGAAGGAAGGAAGGAAGGAAGGAAGGAAGGAAGGATCGATCACAGGAATATTAATGTTTCCTACACTTCTTATCTCTTCTGCTCCCTAACACTCCCATACAGCACTAGACATGTGTCCTGAAATGAGTCCTGCTAAAAAGGGAAGTTGAACCTGATAAGCATTTTATGAGATGAAATCACAAGCTGTATTGGGTCAACACTGCATCATGACACTGTCAAGAGTGCTTTAATAGATTTTAAGCCAGGGAAACATTAATAGAGGTGATCACTGGATGTGTGCTGCTTACACATACCCTTGAAAGTAATCACCAGTATGATGGGCACTGTCTTTTTATATTGATATTATTGATCGGACCAGATTTTCTCCTGTAAACAGCATAAAGGGCAGTGGTTTTTTTTAAGACATTGTCTTAAATTGTCAAATTTACTTCATTCCAAAACTGGGCTCAGCAAAGGTGCTATGAATCTTTCTTGATAACTTCTAGGGACTACCACTTAAGATGTAAGATGAAACTTCTACAGACTGGTTGTTAGGTGCTCTCCAAGTGGTCAGTGGTCCATTTCCTTTCCAGAAAAATGGAAAAAAAACAACAGTTTCCCTTAGTTTCTCTTATACACAGTTTTGATCCTTTCTCCTAGATTTATTTTTGACTCTAAGCCAAAAACTACAATGGAAGTCAGTGATTCACTGTTTGATGGAGCCCAGGATCCCCCCTGCTTTTCAATATCAATCCAGCCACTACACCACAATAGCATCTATGCTGTCTCAGAAAAGAGCACATTTGTGGGAAAGGGAGGAAAATTCCCAGCAGAACTCCCTTGTACTTCTGACCTTCAATAAAAATGAGGAAACAACACATCTGATTTTCAAGAGATTATCATTGCCATTATGATACTCTTAAAGGAGACATGTCAAGCTTTTACAAATTAAAAACAAACAATCTGCTTGAAATATTCTTTTTTTAAGTTCCATATTCTTTTAATAACTCCTCAGCCTATTCAGAAAGAAATTATGTTAACATAATGCCTACTTTGCATTATTTGCATCTCTTACCATTTTGAATATATTTTATATTAAAATATAATGACAGATTGATGGTGGTCGTATCATGCTATTCATTCTAGGGAATGGGCCACATTATCTGTCAAATTTTGTTCTACTGAAATTGAATGAGTTGTCCATCAGCTCTTGCACAGTAAGTACATGCATCCATTTCTGCAGACCATGGTCCACCATATAACCCGGAGTTATGCTTAACTTTTGGTAAATGTCAGTCCATCAGTCACTAATGTCTTTGGAAAAGGGGCCGTATTCATCACCTTCTTCCCAATGATACTAACTTTAGAAGTTCCACTGATGTGTTTCAACATGGATTACACTTTTTGGACCCAGTAAAAAGCTATTTAAAGTAAAAAAATGGGGCTTAGCAGAGGTTCAAAGTGGCTCTTCGAATGCAGTATTCTTTTGAAGATCTTTATGTTTGTGTTCTCTCTAAGAGAGTAATTGAGCAGTTTATATTTGCCTTGCTATGCTTGTCTTTTTTAAACAAGTAAACTCATAAAACTAATCTGAGGAAAACACTTTTCCCCATTGAACTAACTTTTTTTGAAAAACTGTATTTGTGTATGTTTTGCATGTATGTGTTCTGATTCCACAAATCAGATGCCCATGTTATTACAGAAAGATGTGTTCATGAAAGTATACAATATGCTTTGCTGAATGAAAGACATCTTTTCCATTTAGTATGTAAATCTGGAAAAACTTGTTGTAAGAAAATAAATTTACACAATGTATTCTACAGCACTATATTGCTGAGTATAAGTTTGGGGAAAATAAACCACCAAGAAAACATTTTGATTTGATCTTCCTATAAAGAAGAATGAATACAAGAATAATGCACAGATTGATAAAACCCAGAAGCTGGCCATAACTCTAAATCATACTGTGGCCCACACTCTGTAAGTATGAATGCGTGAGTTTATCTTTGTGTCCAAAGATACTCTCATAAGAAATTATGGAAGCCAGAGCTTGGCTTAGCTGAGACTAAGCACGTGCATTAGGATTTGCAGGATCAAGCACAAACGCTGATTTACTGTCTATGCAATCTTCAGTACAACTCACTTTGATTAAGAGTTTGGCACTTTATCTGGAATGAGTAGTCTGTGTGACCATTCTTGTTCTATGAGACAGTGCAAAAATGTAAAATGTTAGTGCATTCAAAGCTACCAAATCAAAAATATCAAAGATTCAAGCTACATTGAAAATGAAGTGCAACAAATTATACAAACAGAATTACACAGAGTATTGGCTTACCAAGGTAGCAGTAACATACAGGATTCAATTAACGTGAATTTGAGTTTTCTTAATACAAGGGGAAATAGTTTTTTCCAAACTTCCTTGTTTCAGTCTAACACTTGTTCATATAACATTAGAAGACATTGAACAGTATATTTAATGAATATGTACTCATGTAATTTATTTGATAAAAGCACAGCCTTCATTCTCATGCATTTATACATGATCAGGTCACACAACAATTTCAAAATACAACTAAATCATTCTCTGTCAGATGTTCATTGTGCTCCACATGCATCTCTTTATTTTATTTATTTCATGTTTGGCTAAAAGAAATGCTAGCAGTCTTGGTAGCCAGCTCATACTTCAACACATCTCTTACATTCTCTCTCTCTCTTTTTTTTTCTTTCTTTTATTTTTTTTTGTAGTAGGCGGACCTTCTGGAAGCAATGAGGCTCGCATTTTGTGGTAACGACAATGCGTCAGCATACAATATTACTGCTGGTGTCCTTAGAAATGTCTGCTTTGTGGATGCTCTCAACTTGGTTCCCCATGTCTTCTTGCTTTTTATCACCTTTCCAATTTTGTTCATTGGTGAGTTATTCAATGAAGCCGTGCAATCCTACAAGAACTTGAACATGTATTTAAACTCAGACACATTTATGTGTGCTTGCAGGCCTGTGGTGCAAACTATTAGGTGCTTTGTATTTACTTATCTTAAGAAAAGAAAGAATGGCTTAACACAGTGGACCTGAAATAAACCCACTTGAAATAGTGGGAATTTTAGAAGTAAACAACATGGGAAGATCAATGGGATCCAGAGAAATCAGTTCCAAATGCTTTGAAACTTCTTTCTGGGAAAGCTTTCTTCAGATTTGAAATTACTGGATGCTAGAAGACTTAGGACAGTGAGTTGGAATTCCCTTGTAGTTATGCAAATTTCAGAGAATGTCTTGGATCAAAAACTAGGAGAAGCAGGAATAATTCTTTCTTTTGCCAACATATGGTAACAAAAGGAGAGGAAAGGAGATGATTTTTTCCCATGGGAATGAAAATAAGAAAAGATAAATCTCTCTCAAATAATTTAAGGCATTGTAAGAGCATAAGTTTATATACTCTTGTAAAAAGCTGTGTTTAAACTAGGACTTTAATTACATTTTTTCTCCACCACTGTCTCTTTATCCTATGTATATGCAGTGGTGAAATAAATGCAGTTCAAAAATTTTTCAGGACTGTCAAACAATGCCACTCTAAGTTATCATAGTACATTTGAAGTACATAAGACATTTGAATATCTGTTAAAAAAGCAATAAATTTTAATAAAAATTAAATATTCTCCTGACAACAGCATAAGAAATTCCATGTCACTTCTTCCATGTTGATTTCATAGTGTTATGCATTGGCATAATAATATATATCTGTCATGTGGAAGATTTTAGTTTGGGACTGTATTTGAACTAGAGATTTAAGGCATTCCATCGCACAAAAAGAATCCAAAATGATTTAATAACTAGCGACAGGAACTTATGGGATGAGACACTGAGTAACTAGAAATCAAAGATTTTTTGTAGGAAAAAAGCATGATATCTTAAATTATATGGAATGTATGTATGTATACAATTATTTTTCGTCTATTTTGTACCATGATTGTCAGGATAAGTAGCTGTTGGACAGAGCCTTAAGAGCCAACTGTAGTCCACAAAATTGAGTGAACCCAAAATTAAAAATTGATGGTGAAACATGTGCTGACGCATGGGCAAAAGGAAATAAAATTAAAAGCAGCTTGGAAGAGACAAAGATAGGAGTAAGGTCATAGATAGTCTTATTAGGATAGGAAAATCTTTGAACTCTATTATAGAGTGTTTGAGATAAGCAGAAGGAAGACTGAATATTTTGTTCCTGCAGTACTTTATGTGTTAAATAAGCATTAAATGGTGATAACCTAACTATTTCCAAGAACTAGTAAGTATGAATCCTTGTTTATGTTTTTGAGTCTCCCTATGAGACTGTAGGCATTAAGAAACACTGTCTTTCCTCTAAGGGAGGGGATTTGGAACTAGGTGATCTTTATGGTGTCTTCCAACCCAAATCATTCTAGAATTCTGTGATCTTTGTGTAACAAAATCACATCCTGAATTTTAAACTCAGTCATGCAGTTACTGAAATACTGATGCTCACTATCCTAAATAATTTGTTTTGTTTTGTTTTGTTTTTTGTTTCTTTAATTACCTACAATAGTTACTTTGGGGTCCATCTCCATGCTTCAGTAAGTCCACCAGTGAGTTACAGAATTTGCCTTTCAGCAAGAGGGATAAATGTACGGGACAAAGCATTTAGGCTAAGTGGTTCAGGACAGACCTACAGCAGGATGGGAAGGGACAGAAGACAAGTTGCCTTACAGAGCAACATGCAGGACTGGACTTGACACACTAACCTCTCCTTGGTCCTCATCTCTTCCCAGCACTAACACCGTTCTTGTAGTTCTGCTTGTAATCAGGGTGCTGGCTTCAGAGACAATCTCGTCTGAAGTGCATAGTCGATCTTCGAGGTGATGAATCTGAAATAAACTTCAAAATTAATTCATTGATTAAACCAGCTGAGTTCTGATGATCTACTGGGAGATTAGAATATGCAAAATGAGGAAAAAAATATGAAAACACCATCATTTCAGTTCTAGAATTGTAGAATCATTCAGGTTGTAAAAGACCTCTAAGATCATCCAGCCCAACCATTAATCCATCCCCACCATGCCCATTAACCATGTCCCCCAGTACCACGTCTTCACGGTTCTTGAATATCTCCAGGGATGGTTAACCCACCACGTCCCTGAGCAGTCTGTTGCAATGCCTCACCACTCTTTCTGAGAAGAAATTTTTCCTAATGTCCAATCTGAACCTTCCATGCCAGCTTCTATTGTGTGAGGGTGTGACTGAGAGGTTTTTATTGTCTTTCTCATCTTTGTTCTTGGTTGGGGGCCTCTTCCCTTTGATTTCTATTTTAGGAATTATTTTGTCCTGTTGTTTACAAAGTTAGATCTAAGTTATTAGGGGCTACCTGGCAACTCAATCATGGATCATGTCTGGGTAATAACAGCCTCTCTCCATGGTCTTGTAGCTCTTCTGTGCTAATTCTAGACTATGAAGCATAACCTATGGCTTAGGGCAGGGAATGAATAACTACATCTCTGGCTGGCTGTAACCTTCCTCCTTTACTACTATTATTTTCCAGGCTGGGGAAGCCAAAGCTCCAAAGTCCAGATTCACCACAATACATGGCTGCACTTCCCTGGGCATAATCTGCGGTGGATTCTGACATTCACTCTCCTGTTCGTACACGTGTGTGAAATAGCAGAGGGCATAGTTTCTGATACGTAAGTGACAGTGACAGATGGATAGCCAAGCTAACTGAATTTGTCAGTGTACTCTGTTATCATGTGATATGCTTGCAAGTACGATGTAGAGAGTTTTTGTTCTTTTTTTTTTTCCCCCCCAAAAGGATGGAACACCATTTCAGAAACCTAGATTTTAATGGGACATTGAACTAATTGTTCTTAGCACATCGTTATTCTCCTGTCAATATATCACAGCTAGTAAATATTGACAGAAATTAATGCATTCACTTGGAAAAAAACCCACCTTTTTGTCAATAGGAAAGTCATATTTGTCATCTTAGTTACATTAGCAGAACACCTAGGAATGTAACAATGGTATTACAATGTAACTGAAGTCACTAATTTATGCCTTATTTAATTTCAGACAAATGAAATCTCGACATCTCCATCTCTTTCTACCAGCTATAATGGGATTTGTGGCTGCCACTGTATCAATAGTCTATTACCATAACATTGAAACATCTAACTTTCCAAAGTTACTGTTAGGTAAGTCCATGTCTGATTATGTACTTTTACAAAAACAGTAGTTTTACCAAAGTCACCTTGGTTAGATTGAAACAGATGGTGAAATGCAGGAGAATATTAAAAGGGAGAGGAGTAATTTTCTGTTCATAGAACTTGTATTTTTGTAGGAATTATTTTGCCTTTTATTAGCTACACATTGAAAACTACTTTTAAAAATGACCACAGAAGGGAAAACACAGTGAGCCTATTGTATTTCTAGCGCAAGCTTTGGGGTGTTTTTTAAACACTGCTCATTATTTTATGTCCAAGACTTGTATTCATTCAAAATAGATATTTGGAAGGGCCTTTTGAAATAGTAACCTGTTCAAAAGACATCCTGTGAAGATTGTTGTTTTTTTCTCAGCTTCCTTTGCAGTTGACTCCAAGATTTTCCAGTCTAATGATTAATACTACTCCTTACTTTTCTCAGACGGGGTGGGGGTCAGGAGGATGAGGAAGGTTTATCTTCGAGAAACACAGCTAACTTGATGTCTATCTCAGTCAGGAGATGGTCAGAAGAATTTGACTAGACTTTGCAGCATAATGTTTCATGGGAGTATAATGCCAAATTACCTACAGCTCAACAGCCTGAACCAGTCATACAAACCAGAGTGCAGGATGTAATTAAACTACATGGATTCTTTCAAAATAAGCATGTTTCCAAGAGTACACCTGTGATTAATCCTACTTTTTCAAAGAGGCAATATGATATTTGTCATGCTTAGTGACATTTACTTCATTTTAACAGTAAAATTTCCCACCAGATTGTCTTCAATGGGTTTTTGTAATTGTGTGAAGATCCACATTTGTGGATGTTTATTGAAAGGTGGTAACCCAGGAAAGAAAACAATGACTTGGAAAAAGAAAGTGCAAAGCAAATCTCTCCATTCTGTATTCCTGACTTTGTCTGACATCAGCCTGGGCCATCCTGCAGGCTTGTGATACAGAGGGTTGGCATGTTTGCATTGAATTAAGCTATGGAATATTTCTGCTTGAGAGAGCTGCAACTTCTGCAGCATTAACACAGCTGAAATATGTATTTATAATGATGCATGTGTATCTGTTTTACAGCTCTCTTTCTTTATTGGATAATGGCCTTTGTCACCAAAACTATCAAGCTTGTCAGATACTGCCAGGACGGTGTGTCTTTTTCTCAGCTGCGCTTCTGCATCACTGGAATTATGGTGATTCTCTATGGGCTGCTGATGGCTGTGGAGATCAATGTCATTCGAGTTAGGGTATGTGGTTTCTCGATCCATATCTGAATAAATATCTGCAGTTCCTGGGAGATGAAGAGGTCATTAGCCCCAGTAACTGCCTCTCATCAAGTTTAGGTCCAAGTCTGGTGTCACTATGAATGTCTAGTTACTGGATGCAGTGCTCAGGGACACGATTTAGCAGTGGGTTATTAGAGTTAGGGTAGTATGGTTAGGTTGCGGTTGGATTTGATGATCTTTAAGGTCTTTTCCAACCTGAGCGATTCTATGATTAATGCAGTTAAACTATATATGCAGTGAAGGCATAAGCAAGCATATGTTTTGCCCATTGCAAATAAAAATATATCCCAAGAATTCTTTTGTTGTTGTTATTCAGAGATAGATGGTACTTGGTAAGCTAAAGAGCAGTGTCCACATCCCACAGTTGTTGATTTCTTAACAGTCACATTATCAGAATGGAAATACGTTTAATAGCAAATTCTTACCTAAATTCACTGTATTATTACCTCCAAATACAAATTTGACACTGCTATTATATCATTATACATACTTAAAATTTCCTATAATAAGATATTTTCTGAAAACATGCTGTCCATTTTCTTCTCTCCAGAGGTATGTATTCTTCATGAACCCTCAGAAAGTGAAGCCACCAGAGGATCTACAAGATCTCGGAGTGAGGTTTCTTCAGCCATTTGTCAATTTGCTCTCAAAAGCAACTTACTGGTGGATGAATACACTTATTATATCTGCTCACAAGAAACCTGTGGACCTGAAGGCAATTGGGAAGCTTCCAATTGCAATGAGAGCGCTGACAAATTATGTTTGTCTCAAAGAAGCATACGAGGAACAAAAGGTAACCAAAGATGTCCATGTCACTACTTTGACCTTAAAAACTGTGGTGTCACTTTGAATTTCTTCTGCTTCGATGAAATCCTAGTTTTAGGAATTTTTAACTTAGGACTGTTTGTTCCAAGATGAAATTTGTCATAGGAAGTTCCAATGCAATAGTTACTGTTTGGTTTTAAGTGAATTTACAGCAGGGAAGAGTTGCCAAATTGAGAGCAACTGGAAACCAAGACCATAACAGAATGGTCACTTGCTAGATTTCATTTTAAAAATGAAAGCTTTGTTTAAATCTTAGATATTCATGACTGCATTTTAAATTAGAAAACGTCCTACTTTTCTATAGTTTCAATTGGAAACACTCATCTCCACTTTTTCTTCAGAAATCCTGTCTTATAAATGTTGCACGTTAAAGTAATTCATGTCCTTTGCATTTGCAGGAGGGTGCAAACTCATAGACAAACATGTCCATATTAGGTAAGGGTTTAGTTGTGGTGTTTCCTCTGAGATGCACACTGGAAGGGAAGCAAATCCTTCCTTCTTTAGACAGTGGTGTTTCAACAGAGAAATCTTAGGGCATAGGCAAATGTTACAGTAATTCTCTTTCCAGTAATTCTACCCTCATTTCAAAAACACATACCAAGGAAGCAGGTGGATTGGTCCCAGGAAACAGCTAAGCACTCACCCAGCTGCTTGCCCACTCTTCCCTTGGTAGAACAGGGGAGAGAAGCACAAGAGCACAAGCTGAAAACTGATGAGTCAAAATAAAGGCAACTTAAGAACTGAATCAGTGCTGTGTGAGCAAGAAAAACGTAGTAGAGTTCATTGCTACTTCCCACCAGCAGGCAGATGCGTAACTACTTTCTGATAAGCACAGTCTCAGCACATGTGAAGGTTACTTGGGAAGACAAACACTATAATGACAAATATCCCTCCTTCTTCTTTCTTTATCTGAGCTTTTATTGCCAAGCACAACATGATATGGCATAGGATACCCCTTTGGTCAGTCGGGGTCAGCCATCCTTGCTATGTCTTCTCAAGGTCCTGTGCATCCCTAGCCTCCTAACTGGTGACAGAGTAGGAAAAGGGGAATCCTTGGTGGGATGCAAACATGTCCCAGCAACAGTTTGGTGTCTTACCAGCCGAGTTTAGTTACAGATACAAAAGACAGCATCATGCAAGCTGCTGTGAGGAAATGAAATACATCCCAGCCAGACACAGTAAGAAAAACAAAGCTGGTTTTTGTTTACCTACTGACTCAGTAGAGGAGATGTTTCCAGAGAAAGTTCTGCATACATTTAGACAAAACTGTGGAATTTCATTTGTGGAGCCTGTCTCCCTGTTTTGTACATACTTGTCAGTTCTTGAGCATAAACAGAAAGGATACAGGCAGTCAGAAGCCACTTCAGAAATATAGCACATAAGATTAAGGCATGTAAATCCCTTTCTTGTGCACACCAGGTAAACTTATTTCTAAGCAGTAAACAGTTCAGAATAGCAGTGCAAGAGGAGTACGGCAAGAGCAGCTCTTTCCACCTGGTAGCTGGTGGAGGTGCAGACTCTCTTCCATGCCTTCTGAAATAAAGCCCTAATGAATGCAATTTATATTCTAAAAAGACTGAGGCTGCTTTGCATGCCTTTTACAACCAATGTATGCAATATTAGAGAGTCCAAGACCCTTCTGCTTAAAGCAGAAATCTACTGAGTCATTGGAGTTGAGCTTTTCACACCAAAGGAGAAATACATCTCTTAGGCCAGATCCTCAAAGGAGCATTTGGTGACCATATCTTACTTAAAGAGACCAGTGAGGCTTAGGCACCTACATACCCCTTGGAACTAGAGGCTCTGTGCCTTTCTTTATGATAAATGTGCATGACTGAGTGCAAGCACTTGTCTGTATCTCATTTATATTTGCAGATACGACATGTGCCTGCATAAATATGTGGCTCAGATGCCAGAAGGCAAGTGAACTCTGTTGTTGCTCATGTGCATTCACTGTTTAGCTTCATTCAATGCATGTCATGTACATATGAATACTTGCAATATTTTACCCATGGTAACATGCACCTACATTTGCAAAAACTGGCTGAGATCAGATTTCTTTTCTTCCTGTTAACCTGCATAATATCTCAAGATTACCATAGCCTCCATTTGTGATAATATTCTAAAACAAGCAGTAACCCTAAAGTAAATGGATATTTTACTGATAATGTTGAAGTAAACTGAAAGACTAAAACCAATGTGTTGTTTTTGTGCATGGCTGGGTTAGAAAACAGCCACAGAATTAGTTAAATTCTTCAGGGTGAAGCGTGATTGCAGTCTGGAAGAGATCCTTTGTCACTGTCTCTGTTGCCAGGGTGTATTTTACACTGATCTTCCACAGCTGGGGCAGGGAGCCCCCCAGATCCTCTGGATTAAGTTGGTTTACTCCTGCCTGCGCCTCCAGAGCTTATCTCAGCTGCACTCCTTGGCCGTGCGGGATGAAGACTGTTGTTCCTTTCCAAACCCTTTATCACACCTTGATAAAAGACTCTGAACATTAACATGAATGTTCTGTATTGTAAAATACCATTGAGACAGCTCACGAAGTGTGTTGCCTTTAAGATTTTTTTCCTAATCCTTCTGCCTGAAATGAAAATTGAAACCAGGTACTCTATAAAAAAAAAAAAAAAAAAGAAAAGAAAAAAAGGAACAGGGAACTCAGGCTAAATTTTCATGACTGCTTCTCAGAATCACTGTTTCTCCTAACCTGTGTCCCAAGCACAGGGACCGAACATTAAGTGGAACCTATTCTTTCCTTTGCTGGCAGTAGGATTTTTTTGAAATCTTTTTTCAAAGCACATTCGTGCTGAATTATTGTTTATAGAATCTTAAAGTCAGCGATCGATAATTTTGTTTTAATATAACATAATATAAAGTAACGTATTGAAAGGTAAATAATTGGAGATCAACATTCTAATTGTCTATTAATCTGGTAGTTGCTACAGCAGAAGGCATACCAGCTCCTACAATATGATACAGGTCATTTGTTACTGGTTTGGTGAGTAGTTTTGTGCCTGGCAAGGTACACAGCATATTGTAAGACAACGTCATATATGTCCTTTCAGATTGAAAGGTACTATAAAATGACAGTTAAAACGTGTTTTCTTGGTAATCAAGCTTACTTACATATGCTGGTTGAGATTTTTCATAAACAACGTATTGCCAAAAATAGGCATTAGAATTGGCTTTCCTTTCCATTTATTCTGCCATCAGAAATACAATAAAAGATGAACATACTGTATTCCCTTACTTCTTTAGATAATCTACCATAGAAGTTGAAACACCTCATCCTACAGCATTTTTATCTCATCTTTCTAAGTGCTCTGTATAAATTCAAACTGTGGATAGGGAGGTTGCTTTTGCAGAGTAAGTTGCTGTGCATGTCATACACATAGGGTTACACCCAGGAGCTTAAATTCATATATTCTCTTTAATACATGTTCACAGTTCCCACTATATTAAAGGGCATTTTGGCTCAAGATGAATAATTTTTTAATTTGGTTAAGAACACAAAAAAGTCCTTAGAGATATGAAAGTAAATTCCCACAGCCAAAGTTTTGGATCAAAGTATTACACATTGTCCTAATCCTGAAAAAAATCTTGATTTCTGCCATCATTTCATGGTATTTTGGGGTTTCTCTTCAAGTGGTCTAGGTGTTTCAAACTGCATATTAATGCATGCATCCCAGATTTGCACCACATAACATAGTACACTGCAAGCCTACTAGAGGAGAATTCTGTAAAATTTTCATCACTGGGAAAAAAATCCACTCTTCTTTCTCCCCCCTTCACTTTAGACACTTCAGCTATATTAAATTCCTGATGAAGCAAAGAAGAAACAACAGAGTTAAGCAATATAAATTAATAGCCTAAAAACCCACTCATAAAATTCAAATCTTATGATGTTTCTATCTTCCTGTTAATAACAAATATCTTTTTTTTATGAAAATTATTTGAAGGCATATGAAATGACTTCACAAATGTAAGTGTCAATATGTCAAGGAAAGAAAAGATTTACAATTGACTTTTTTTTTTTGTCTTTAATACACCTAGATTGAACAGCGAGGAGGATAATAATTCCAATTCTTAGTAGAATGCTAATTTTATTAGTAGAATTCTAATGAAAAGTAAATACATTTTATGTAGTGATGACAATTACCTAAATTTTATAACAGTAGTGAAAATAACTACCGAACTAGAAAAAGCTTAATAAAGAAATTTGCCATTATCATTTACCAAATTAGCCATTAATTGAATACCCAGAGTAGTGTATGCTATTGTTTCTAAAAAATGACAGATGTATTTTCCTAATAATTTAGCTCAGCTCCTATCAAACTCTTAAAATGCAAATCATTTATTGGAGGGAGATGACAATCGAATCCGTAGAGCAGTTCATTCAACCCCATTAGGCAATAAATTCAGTTTTGTCTAGGAAAAGCACATAACAGCCTTGTGCTGTTTTCCAAATCATGAGTAATTTCATAATTAGGTTAATTTTTGAAATTCTGTTGGATGTCCTTTAGCCCCTAGTTGTTTTAAATGTGTTTAGGCAAACATAGAACCAAGAAGTATTGGTAGGATTTATCTCACTTAAGTTTTGCTGATTGCAGCATAGATGCCCTCATCTGAGCCAACCACCTCTCCAGTGGAGGGATACAGCTCCTTTTATGGAAGAGATCCACCTGAACTGTTTTAGACGTATTTCTTCAGATGGGGTGACACTGCTCTCTGTACCACATTTGCTTAGAGACCTTTGCAACCAGCTGGAGGGTTGCTCAGGAGTGCCTGTATGCAGGGGTACCCAGCACCTACCAGTGCAGTCAGGGCTGGTCCCAGCAGCAGTAGGAACATTGGCATGCTGTAGGGCAGAGCATGCATAACACTCTTTCAAACCAGACTGCTCTGTCAGTCCTTTGATCTTAAAAGGAGGGAGTTGCATGCTAGCTCCTAATTCTAAATTATTGCAATGAGAGTCTTGTCTGCCTGATTCCACCTGTATTAGTTTATAATGTGGTTGTTTTATCTTCAAGTGACAAAACAACTTTAAAATAAGGTCTTTTAATAACCTTTAATAATAAGGTACTGAATAACCCATAGCTTTTCCATGCCATTCCTTCTTCTTGCCTACAGATGAGAAGAAAATCACTCCTGTGAAATGATGAACATGAAAACAACCTGTTAACAGTTTGACCCTGTGCTGGCTATTTCCCTATACTGTACTTCTTGCCATCAGTTCTGACCCGCCTGGTCTAATCTCTAGAAACGGGGAAGCAGTTATCTGGCCCTCCCATACATTTGTACATTTTTCGCACCGTGTGCATATTCTACCTCACTGTTGAAGTGTCATAAAAGGAATAAGTGTGAAAAGAGAAAACAAGACAGGGAGTAGCCAGGCAGGGCACATACATGCTTGCCTTTCGTTGGATAACGTGTTGGGTCAGGGGCTTGTTATTACTGAGCTATACTTAAAATGTCTCTGTGAACACTCAAGAGGGCTTGGCTTCAGTTATAACTTGCAGGCATCTGTGCTACTTGAAAAATGACAGATGATTTTTTACAGTGTCAAAAGCTGTTGCCTGAGGCACAGGAAACCACTCCGCAGACCATGGATCTGTTAAGTAAAACTCTTTCTTCTTTAGATTAAAAGGACCTTGACGAAACCAGCATCCCTCTGACCAAGTTCAGAGATATGCACTGGTTGGTGTTTCAGCGCAGGAGTGAAGACAATGCACAGATTCACAGAACCAGAGGCTCGAAAGGACCGTTAGATGATTTAATCTCACCTCCCAATATAGTTCATTACTTTTACCTTCTTGAGCCCACTAATTAGCTATGAGCTGAAGTGTGTCTTCCTAGAAGACATGCAAGAGAGAAAAATCCAGATAAATTAAATTAAACTATATTCTCATAGCTGTCTCTCCATGTTTGTTCCTTCAAACTTTTTCTCATATCAGAGGCCTTTACTGAATCAAGTTGTTTCGCATCTACTGTGAAGGTAAAGATTATCCATAGGAGTAAGGACTTGAAAGGTCAGGCCCTTTCCTGAGCATGCATGTGACAAAGAACAACATCTACATGCCAGTATGTTTAATCTGCATACACATTCCTGTGTTCAGAAAAGTGTTAGGATTTAGAAGGGAGAAACCACAGTTACCAAGAGGAGGCAGAGTTTGGATTTGCTGTGAAGGGTGTCTGAAATCTGCCAATACCAACATCACATTTGCTGCTTCCTCTGCCCTTACAAATATACAGGAAACATTTGGGCATTCAGACAGCAATGAAATGGAAATTGTCACATATTGCCAGGGAGGCCTCTTGTTGATGCACTGTCAACCTGTTTCTCTGTTTTCCAGAAAAAAGTAGCAGATCAGCCCAATCGCCGTCCCTCGATATGGTTGGCGATGTACAGTGCTTTTGGACGACCGATTCTTCTTAGCAGCACCTTCCGTTACTTGGCTGACTTGCTGGGTTTTGCTGGGCCTTTGTGCATTTCTGGCATTGTTCAAGGTTTCCAGAACACGACCCATAGCACAAATACAACAGAAAAGGTAACTTTACAACATTAATTGAAAGATTCTGCTTAGTGTTTGTTCTTGATTCGTATCAGGTATTTAATACTGTGTGTAACCAAGTATCTATGATCATCAATTGTAATTTTCATCATTTCTTTCAAGCAAATGATTTTTTTGTTAGAGACCATCACGTTAAAGACCTAAGTAGTGGAAGTCTTCATCACGAATGCTGCACAAGTAGTGCAACAGAGACAAGACAGGTTTCCCCCAGCTGGAAGAGCTGGCTCTTCATAGAGTCAGTTCTGAACTTCCAGGGAAAAGTAAAAGCTTTTGTGAATCTCTTCAGCTGTGCCTCCTCATTTCAGGCAGGACACCTGGTGGTAGCCCCCCATTGATGGATCCAGAAAAGAGGAAGGAGTCTGTGGGTTCTGCCTAATTTCTGTCCCTCTATCCATTTGTCATTCATTGACAGGTTTGAGCAAGATGTAACCTGTTTTCCTCTGGGCTACGAGAATATTTGCTCTCTGTGACTGATAACACTGCTTGTTGCTGTGATGAAATGCACTGGGCATGCAAGAAGTTGATTATTCAGTGAACTCCTTGAATCTAGAGATGCACAGAAGATGCTAGTTGACATCGTATTTCAAGCTTCACTGAGACTTGTATTTGCAGAAAAATACACACACACACACAAAAAGCCTCTAATACAGAACATTTTCTATTATAAGAGCAAGAATTTGTTAAAAACTAGTGAAAAGATAAAGGCAAAATTATTTTACAAAGTGACAGTAGACAAGACACAGGGAGGAAATTATTCTCTTTCTTCTGATATGGTAATATACCCCTGCATATACTTCATACAGTGAATGTTTATTTGAATGATATTTGAATGAGTGGATAGGTATGTAATGGAATAAAATTTTCCCTTTTAGATAGTGCATTTCACTGCCATCACTGTCCAAACATCTTCTCCTTGGCTGCTTGTTCCCAACATTCATTTTCTTGACTGATACTCTGAATTGGGCTTTAAACTTTCAGCCATTGTGCTGACAAAATAGAGTTTAATCATGCAGCTTATCGAATAAAGCTCTTTATCATATTTGAGCCTCAGCATGTTGGATTTGAGCCACAGAGTCAAATAGCAAAGTATGTCTTTTGCCTCAAAAATAGAGTCTTGGAGTTTTAGTTTGTTTTGTTATAGGATTTTGTTATCTTTTTTTTTTTTTTTTCATGTTGAACAAACAAGATAGTTTTGCTTAAAAATTTTCATTTCTGGATCACAAATTTAGAAACTTGCACCTTTTCCTTTTGCACTCTTCATTGAAGTGTTTTATTTTTAAATGTTTTAATCAACACTGGCTAAAGGGAAGATTAAAATAAATTGGAAAACTTGAAAGCACTTCAACATTCTGGCTTTGTGACAGTCACTATTTCTCTTGGATATATTTCAGAATACATTTGCTTTCAATTTGCATATTTTGATAAACTTTCCCTTGGTTGTTCTTGCCTTTATGAGTCTCTCTTTAAATTCTCTCTAGCTTCAATTAATGCAAATTAATTTAATTGTATGGTTATTCCCCCTTAATTACTTATAACTATTTACATTGATAAAGGTGGCCACAAAATTTAGTTTGTTACAGTTATCCCTGCTATGTACACATGGGAAAGTTAGATGACCCAGGATATTAAGAGAAAGCATATACCAGTGCAATCATGCACTGAAGCAACCCTCATTTCCAAAATTCTTTAGCTGATGAAGGAACCTTGTCCTGTTATTCCAGCAGGATTTAGATGCTTTAGACTTCGGCACTTTTGAAGTGTGTTTGGCTCATTAGGTGTCTATCAATATTTGACTGCTTATACTGCTTTGGAAGTTTTATGGCTTGATTATCACGGCAGATAGCTTACTAGGGATGGGAAACAATTCCCTGCAAGCCACATGATGAGTTCATCCCAGACCCAGACTACTTAGCCACTGGGTGTCTTTGATAGATGGAGGAGAGTAGAATGAGGTAGGGTAGGGTGAAGTAAGTAGGATAAGATAGGACGGGACGGGACGGAACAGAACAGAACAGAACAGAATAGAATAGAATAGAATAGAATAGAATAGAATAGAATAGAATAGAATAGAATAGAATAGAATAGAATTGAATCCAGGGCCAACTGAAAGTTAAAGCACGTTAATGAGGGCATTGTGCAAATGCCACATGAACACAGGCAAACAGCATTAACCACTTCCTTAGGAAGCCTGTTCTGCTGCTTGACCATCTTTGTGATAATTTTTCCTTAATGCTCAGTCTTACCCTCCCCTGGTGAGATGACTGTGGTGAAGCGAGCCTACAAGCTCAGGTCTCTCTCCTGCCTTTAGTCCTTTTGCAGGTGACAGTAATCCAGAATGATGAGACTTTGAGAGTGTAGACATGCAGTTTATCTCCCAATATTTACTAGACCTTTCATCTCAGCATCAGATTGGGCATTTCAGCAGAACAGGCTTTTCTTTTCTTCTTTTTTTAAATAAAACCAGTATATCCTGCCTTCAGCTGGATTGGAAATGCCAAAGAAACAGCCTTCCTAGCAGTATTTTGGTACATTTGTTTCCTTCTCTGAATGAAGCCAAACAGCACAGTGAACATAGAAACTAGAAAACAAAATTATATAAACAATAATTTTTTCCCCTATTGAGACATGTACATGTCATTTCCAGGGAAATACTTGCAGATACATTTTTATTTTATTCAGAATTTGCAGATATCACAGACTATTTCTGGAAGGAATTGTTCCTATAATGTACAAATACAACATAATCAATATTGCAATATCAATGCAATAAACCAGTCATGTGTTAACGAAAATAATTTATTTGTAGCTTCTTCATATGCAGGCAAAATTGTATTTCTATCTACCAAATCATCAGAATTCAAATGAAAATCTAAGGAATAAGACAGACGTGGCAATCTCGCTGTCCCTTTTCTGCTAACAAAAATTATTTCAGAATTGCTAAAAGTTGCACTCTTAAATCTTTGGAACATGAGCAGAGTTTAATTTCTATCCCAATTCATAATATGTAGAACAGTGAGAGTTATAATTCCTGCAACTTTCACAGAATACCATCAATATTACATATTCTAATGCAAGGTCTGAATTTCCTAATATCTAGCATCTCAAGAAAAGATAATCCATCCTATGTCATTGCCATCATATTTTCCCTTTTCTTTTCATTTGAAGGATCCATCGAATTCATATCTCTCCTCAGAGGAATTCCTCAGGAATGTTTACGTTTTGGCAGTTCTCCTCTTCCTGGCCCTTATCCTGCAGAGGACATTCCTGCAGGCCTCCTACTACGTGACTACAGAAACTGGCATCAATCTACGAGGTGCTTTATTGGTGAGCAAATCTGTTCCCATGATATGTAAATGCTCCTCTTTCATCCTTTCATTTATCTTATCCTTTTTGTAAAAACTCAGTTAACAGCTATAGTTAGAGAGAAGATATCGACTATATTTTTATGCAGAAAACTGGAAATGGTAATACCACTGCCAAACTGATGGCAGCAATTCTTTTTACCTAAAAATAGAACCATTATAATGATATGCAGAAGTGTAACACTCACTCTATGCACCTATAAACATATATTTGCAAAAAAGTGTTAGTCATCTGGAGATAAGCAGCATTATTTTGGCTCTGTATTTACTTACGAGTTACCCTATCTGACTGTAAAAGAGTTACCAGCCATATCGTTGCCCTAGCTATGTTTTACTGGGGCACTGTATGTGAAACATGAGTGGTGATTCTGAACATCTATGTCCTTTTACAGAGAACCCTGTGATTCTTCCCCTAAACTGTCTAAAACCAGCATCCATTTACCCCTTATGAAAGTCACATTTATGAACAAGAACCAGAATTTCCAACTCAGTTTGGGCTGTAGCCAGGACATCTGCAGACAAAACTCCACAGACAGTAGCAGGAATTTGTGCAAAACTGAAGCTGGAATTGATGTTTTCCCAGTTGTAGCTAACCACAGAATACTGTACCAGTGTGAAGGCTTCTCTTTGTGCTTGCACTGTGATTGATGTAGCTGTTTCAATAGAGGGGGGTACACTTGGTGAAGAAACATCACCTCATCATTTCCTTATGTTTTTATGATTCCCAGTTGCCAAAGTGGGAATTCTACAGGATCTGCCCTGCTCACAGGTAAAACAGGGCAAAGAGCAAAAATTTTTTCTAAAATTTCCTTGAAGACACAACTGTGATACTTGATCATGGCTGCAACTGCTCTCACAGTATTTGTCTTTAAAATTCTGGTAGATACCTAATTAACCTTAAACCCTGTTGTGCTCCAACATATTTTATGGAAATAGATGACCAGGTACAGGAGAGAAATGCAAAGGAATATAAACCCAGCTATTGCACTGGAAATAATAATTTCCTTAACAGTGCCACAGAAAACCAGCCTCACCAAGTGTTTATTAAAAAAATTCCTCAGTCAGTCTCCTGAATTTTCATGTTTTGTTATCATTTTCTTCTGTTTTGGGTCTGCATTAAACAGCAATGCTTTAGGAGATTTTAGAAGTCTGTTATCTCTCATGTTTTTTCTTGTTCTGCCTCATCTCAAGTGAGAGAAAGGCTGTGCTAGGTAATCACCAACACTGCAGCTTGAAACATCCTGACTTCCTTTTCATAGATACCATTTTCTTCTCTCCACAGGCAATGATATATGATAAGATCCTGCGGCTTTCCACATCCAACTTGTCCATGGGAGAGATGACACTGGGCCAAATCAATAACTTGGTTGCCATAGAAACAAATCAATTAATGTGGTTCTTGTTCCTGTGCCCCAATTTGTGGGCTATGCCTGTTCAGGTAGAGCATCAAAATAAGGACATAATGTTGGGATCCTCCAGCCCATTAGAAAAGAGTACACATCTGTGAGACTACCACTTAATCCAAAGGGGAACCTCTAACAATGGACTTGACACTCATTTGCCAGGAAGAGGACTAACAAGCAGAAATGTGGCCCATCATCTCCTAGTGCTGGGAGATTGTCTCTCTGAGGGCTGGCAAAGTGAGGATTTTTTGACTAGGATTTTGCTGTCATGGGTACAATCTGTGACTTTATGGATGATAGATGACAGCCTGCTGTCTTTTCTCTGCTCACCTGTCTGCTCCTACTGACACAAATCATTGCTTCTTCTGCCGCGTGGAAGCAGTATCTCTGCAGTGCCAAGCATTGCCTACTTGTAGCTGTGCTTAGTGGTAGGAATAAAAAGCAATTGAATTCTGCTCTGTTGACTGATGGCAGGACTGTTGGGCCGAACGAAATGCTCAGAGGAGCTCTGATCTAAACAAGCTTAGTTACTGCAAACATCCAGCCCTTAGCAAGGCAGGGAAAGAGGGAAAAGCAGATGTGTGAGAAGGCAAGGTAAAAATTATTAACCTAAAGGAACTATTCAGAAATGGCTAAATAACTTAAGGACCTGAGCCATACTTATTTTCCACAGTGCTTGAACCCTCTAACAACTCCAGAAGTTCAGTTTCTGGTGGAAATGGAATGGTTCTAACCTACATTTGACCTCACCAACACCAAACAAGTTAAAAAAGGGGTAGAAGCCACACTTCTTGCTGAAACTCCTGGAACTGTTCTAATAAGCTGCTGTAATAGTCAGCAATATGACTACTACTAATGGAAACACATATCGCTTTTATGTGTATGCTTTAGGATAGGGTAAGCTTTAGGCGATAAAAATAATTAATGGAGAAAAAGACAAAAGAAGTTTGCATAGTAACAGAAGTTAGAAATAATACAGAGGATTCTATTTTAAGTCATAAGTCAATAATAAGAGGGCTTATTTGGTTTATTCAGGTTTATTTGGAAGCGTTGCTGATAACACTGGAGTGTTTCTAAATGAACAGGTGGTCTGTTTCCTGTAACTAGTGAATAATTAAGTATACATAGCCTAAATTTACCATTTACTGTTTTTTTAATGAACAGTTTCTGTCTCAGCTGCTGAAGAATTGTAATGGCATTCCTCACCAGTACTCTAACAGGTTTTTTTTTTTGAGGAAGTTTCTGTTGATTTTACTGGTTCCTGTAGTTCAGCCCCAGGGACTTAGAAGACAATGAGCACAGGGACAGCTTGACCACAGCTTTGTTCAAGAATGAGCATAGCTTCACCCATGAATTTGTGCCTAATGAGTAATTTAGTGAGCATCTGTGGCCTGGGCTATACAGGGCTCCTGCACTTAAGCTCTATTAATGGTAATGATTATTTTACAGCTCTGCTTCAACAGTAGAAATGGAAGGAAAATTGCTACTATTTCCTTCTCAGAGTATTATAAAGCTGATGTCAGTGACACTGTTTTTGTGGTAAGATGTCTTTCTGCCTGATGAGCTCAACTGTCTGCTCTTTGGAAAAAAAAAAGAAAAAAAAGAAGATAAGCAAATAACCCTCGGTAAATAAGGGCTGGATTAGAACCATACTGCTCTTAAAAAAAAAATTAAAAAATGATAGGACTATCCTGTCTTGCCTTATGCAAAGGAAATAAGCTTCAAGGAATGTCCCAAGAAACAGCTACTGTCAAATCTGTCCCCTCCTCAGGAAGAACGGGTTATAGCAAATACCAAACTTGCATCTGCACAACATGATTAATGTAGCGTAACTGGCCATAGACTGCTGAGGACTGGTTAACCTTAGGAAATATATTGTGCATCTACCAATGTATGGCCTGCTGTCAAGGACAGCAACACATTGCAGGATGAAGCCCACAGTAAGAGCTTAAGAGTTAAGCCCAAGTAGAAATGACCTGTAACCTTGTACTGTTGTGCTAAGAAAAAGGTATGTAGGTGCGTTAGCTTATGTTGCAGATGCCTGAAAAGCTAAATAATGCTTTCAAAATGTCGAACTCCAATGATAATTATTTCTGATACCGTCTAAGAATACAGATTTAAAGAGAGATCTGACTCAAAGTAGGGAAATAGTTCCGAATGTCCTGTTATCACTAAGGATATCTCTGTACCTTGAAGTGGAGCTTTATATAAAAAATACTTAATGCTGTAGAACTTGTGTTAACTCTGGCACCAGAATCACAGTAATTGCATCAATATCATTACCAAGTAAACCTTTGTGGAAAGTGTTCCTATCTTCTTTGTAGAGCTCAGCCAGCATCTTGGTACTACAGGGCTATGTAGTATTGAAGTAGAAGCTCAGGTTTGTGTCACTCCCTGCACATTTGTGCAGCTTTGTGCTTTGGTGCCTGTCTCAGACATGCCTCTGTCTCCAATTGAAGAGGACCCAGAGGACAGAAGGCAAAAGTGATTCATGAGTTTCAAGACCTTTGAATGCTTCCAGAGTGATGTAAGGAGATCTAGTGTAAATAAGACTTGAGGCCAGTGGTTCTGTCAAATGCCCTGGGGCAAGAACCAACCATTTTGATGCTGCTTCAGTTCTGTGGAAATATTGTCCAGAATTAGGACTGACAGGTACTAAAACAAAACATGCAGTTCATGTTCAAAAATAAATATGTCTATGTTAATTTTCTTTCTAAAATTTGATGTTAATTTCACTTTCTAAATGTGAGCTCCTAAAATAAATTCTCACTTGATTCCTGTGAATCTTTTAGCTTTTTTATTAGAAGAACAAATATATGCATATATAATATTTGCTATCATTCTGGTGTTTTGAAATGTACATTTTTTTCTATGCTTCTTTTTTTCTCCATAGATAATAATGGGCGTAATCCTACTTTATAATTTGCTTGGAATGAGTGCTTTGGTTGGTGCTGCTGTAATTGTACTGCTAGCTCCAATACAGTACTTCATAGCTACAAAGTTGGCTGAGGCTCAGAAGAGCACACTGGTGAGTAATTTATTTTTGTGGTTCTTCTGATGTGGAAAGGAGAACAGGGAATCAGTTTTGGATTCTGCCCTTGTTGCTAGTAACCATTCACTGCAGAAGATTAGGCAAGCCATCACTAAATTCCAACAATCTTCCCTTTCTCTTTCCCTGTGCATGGCTCAGCAGCCCTTCCTGCCTCAGAAAAGTACCTCAGTGTTTGTCAGATAAGAATTCGAAAAAGTATGTGGGCCTTGACCTGCCTTCTCTGCAGAGACTATTTTCACCCAAATAGCACGGATTTGTCTGAATTCAATTCCATGAAAGGATATTATTCCTGAATTAAAATGTTGTATGTCATGGGATGTTACCAAATAGTACAAATGACAGATAAATTATGGGAGCACATTATTAAAGAATGTGTACAATCCTCCTCTGTAATGGCTACAGACTGTGCACTCTCACTCCAAGCTTTTGCATTCTCTAAAACTCAGATGACATCGTTTGATTAGTATCTATTATACACTTTTCATCTTCTTGCCTATGTCACCAATTACAAATGTTTTCAAATGCTTTGTCCAATGTTTAACCTAATTCTCACCGTCTCTGAACTTTTTTGATCAACCTTTGATATATGAGTCTTCAAATATGTAACGATCTTTGTTATCTTAATATTCAGTAAGCAAATTACAGGCAAGTAGACTTACTTTTCAGTACACTTCAATTCTGCTGAGCTACAACAGTTTATACCAAGATAGATCTATCTTCTATACTCTTTCAGAAATTGTCTCAATCTTTCTTTTTTTTTTTTTTTTTTCTGATTTCTGACTCACAAAAAAATTTGGATTATGATTTTACCAAAACATATGAGCACTGTTTTCTGGAGAGGGGCAATTAGCTATATTAGATAAATATATGAATAAACATCTCACCTACTTTCATGACCATTCTGTATGAATCCCAAAATGAATCTTCTATCAGCAATTACACGTTTATGTATTCTTATGAATATCATCAGCCTACTATTCTATCTTCCTGAGTTTCAACTTCTGTCTGAGGGGTTCAGATATTTTATTTTATTTCTCTTCTTTGAATAGAGTCATATAATTTCCCCTCTATTGTAGGTATTTTAATATCTCCAAAGAGCCTGAAATTGCATGTTATTTTACTCAGTGTGACAACTGAAAGCCTGTGCAAATTCATAAACAAAATATATATATATATATCTTTAATGAACTTTACAACAGATTAAATGGAAAAAAGCATTCACATTAAAACTACAAACCATTATTGATTACTTATCCTTGTTTTCATTTGAAATGAAGGACTATTCTACAGAGAGATTAAAGAAAACCAATGAAATACTAAAAGGCATTAAATTATTAAAGCTGTACGCCTGGGAGCACATATTTTGTAAAAGTGTGGAGGAAACAAGAATGAAGGAACTCACCAGTCTCAAAACGTTTGCACTTCATACATCTCTTTCCAGTAAGTAACTGTTTTTAGCTTTCAGAAATGGATTCTCCATGTCAACATTCCTTCCGACTTCAGCTAGAGCAAGACACATCTGTTCCTATGACATTTTTGGTATGTGGAACATACTTGAAACAAAATATATGATAAATATGTAGCATAGAAACTCGACAATATATGTTGTTGATTTTTTTAGAAAGTTTTTTGTCACTATAATTATGACATTACAAGTTGTAATAAAATCAGAAGCTCAGATTACAGATTAGCAGATTACAGATTAGCAAAGATAAATAATTGTCTGATAGAAATTGTATTTCTTGTACTGAGGAAGAGCTGATAGGTGATTTAGTTTTGTGGCATAACAATTACGCACATAAAACTTTTTATCCTAATGCACTGAAGTATACAAAGGAAATAATTATTTGGCTTGTTCATTTGTGTGTTAAAGATTTCTCTCTGTCATGGAAGGCAATTTCTTCCTGCAGAAGGATTTTCCTTTTTGGAATTTGAAGTATTTGAATTGGAAATAGACAGATTTTTCTTATATCATATAACTAACTGTAAGGCCATTTTATATATGCCATGTAACCTGATGCTTATTTTTTTTCCATTCCTAGTTTTTATGAATGCAGCCATACCAATAGCAGCTGTTCTTGCAGTAAGAATTTTTCTTTTCACTTTTCTTTAAAAAGGGGGAGGGAAAAAGAGATGATTGGAAACAAAAAAAAAAAGACACTCCTGTCAGTGCAGGACCATTGTTACTGTTAATAAAACCAGCAGATGAGTGCACCCACTGGCTGGAGGGTAGCATTATATTAGAAATGCCCATTCTAAAGTACTAGTATTTCATCAGTTGGGATTTGGGTTCATTAACTAACTAACTAAAGACTAATGGAAATATAAGCTTTAATTGACAGGAAAAAAAAAAAAAAAGAAAGACCAACTCAACACAATCATATCAATTTGAAAGAAAACCTATTTTTAGAAGCTCTCATTTTGAAGAGTTTTAAGTGGCTTTACTTTCCTGCTGTCTAACAGTAAAAATCATTCCTGTTACAAAGTGTATTGTAAGCCACCATTTCAGTATTCACAAAAGCATACCATGGAGTTTAAGATGAAATACATTTTTAATTGTACTCTGGCCAGGTTTAAATCTCAATCTAATGAACTGGAGGATGTACCGCCTGCTGGTCAGTGAGAATTCTTCATAAACCAAATTCTGAGGGCATTCCTCAGATTGTGCTGGCAATATTTACCAGGATTGTGTGAAATATATCTATGGTGCTGCATCTGTGGGGAAAAAAGCACAACATTTAGTACATTTCTACTGATTTGTCAGCATTGTATGCTTCCTCAAAACACTGAAATCAGTTACAAAACTTCACAGTACTTAATGGTTTGACTTCACAAAGCTGAATGCTTTCATTTTTTTAAGAGATTTTTTTTTTCATTTGTAAATGTCTGAGTCACTTGAAATCACTGGCAAACTTTCTGAATTTTTTTTTATTGTAACAGGAGTCACTTTTCCCTTCAATTTTCTGGAATTATGTCAGAGATATGCCTAAAGTTACTGGCCTTTTTAAGCAAAACATTTCCTTGCTTTCTTTACCCGTCTTATTCGAGAGTCTTTATACATAATTTCCTGTTTCTTCTGACATGACAGACCTTTGTGACTTATGCATACATCAATGACAAGCCTCTGCAGCCTGCCCAGGCCTTTGCCTCACTGTCGTTGTTCCATATCCTGGTCACACCATTGTTTCTGCTTTCCACTGTGGTTCGTTTTGCAGTCAAGGCTATCATAAGGTAAGTGGTCCCAGCTTAATCTATAATGGTTTTTCCAGCTCTCGAATATCTACATTCAGTAATACAAGGAAGGTGTTACAGAAAAGGTTTTTTCTACTTGCTCACCTGGAAGGGAGTTTAAAGGTGAGACTCACAATGACCATTGACAATACCTGAGAGAAAACAATAACAGTTTCTCTTCATTGCTTGATACAGAGACAACTAAATGTTCTGTTCCTTTTATAATCCCCCAGATTTGGAGGTCTAGATTCAGAGCCACACTGTTCTCTCTTGGGATGAAGATGCTTCCCTTCTCACATAGTTCTTGTATGGGCTATAGCCAACACAGAAGAAGATGAGAGAGACTGATCAGAGCTATCCCACAAGATTTGCCCTGTTGGTGCAAGGAAGAGCTAAACTTGAACTCCCCACAAGCGCATGGTGCTTTGAGTGAGAATTCAGTATTGACACACCTCTCATTGTCTAGCAGTAGCATGGATTCTCTTTCAGAGGAAGGTGGTTGGAGGAACACTGGGTGCTGAAGGACTAAGTACACAAGAGAAACAGCACTACAGTTCTTTTTCTTATAAAGGAAATTCTGTTTTCTCCTGAATGGCAGTAGAGAGGTGCATGAGAGGAAGGATGGCAAGGCAGACATTTGGGAGTTTATTCCCTGAGTGCAAGAGATCTGTATGGCAGGACAGCGAAGAATCTGGCACAAAGTGGAAAAGATTTCAAAAAAAGAAAAAAGAACTCATAAAATGTGTTGCTTCATCAGAAGCATGTATGTGCCAGGCATTTGCTTCTGCAAATAACTTGACAAAACAGCTTCTAGGTTATAGACCACTTAATCTCAAGGGACCATATTGGTAGTAAGACAAATTTCAGACCTTCATTTATTGCATCAGAGGTCTGTGAAATAGTCATGGTTATGGGGCGTTTATGTAGACACTGCCACGCTGTCCCAAGAGGCAGAGTCTGACACCTGATTAGCAGTAACGTGTCAGATGCCAAGCACTGGCATGACATGAAGATCATACTAGTCTTCCCAACATTTCCTTGGAATAGTAATCAAGGGGACTTCAAGCTTCATAGCTGTAATTTACCAGCACCACATTCACTCATTAAATAAAAAAATAAACAAACATTATTTAGCAAAGCAGTGGGGGAATCATGTGAGAGATTTTCCCTATGCTGAAAATGATTTCTGCCTAGTGGAAAATACCAGCTCTCCCTTATAAATCATTCTAGCCTCTACATCTTTGCACTACATTTAGCATAGCCTTGATGTCAAAATTGTGCTGACGTTTTCCTTATCACTGCTGGCCATCCCTTAGAACATTATTTAATACCATATTTGCCTAAATAAACTCCAGCTTTTGACAAACTTCTTTCCTGTAATCTTTCTCCCATGAGCATTACATCCTCCAAGTGAAGAATGAAGAATGTCCACCATCAATCAAATATATAAGTATGCACTCATTTGTGTTATGATTAAGCCCTAATATTTTGATCCAAATTTCCGTTTCATTTAAAAGAGTAGTTCCAGTAACATGAAAGCCTTTGTGAGTACCTGTCCTCATTCAAACACAAAGTAATGGTTGTTGTGTTGTGAGGCTGATGATCGGAGTGAGGTTTCTTTTCTTCTTGAAGAGAAATTCTTGCTTGACACAGATATTATTATGAAAGACTGAAATACTATTACAGTAGTTAGACATCTAAGTTTTCTTTTTCGAAACAGAAGATACGTACAGCTATACTGGCAAGATGAAATAATGAATGTGTCTCCATAGCTTAAACAGCTATTGATAATTTCATGCAGAATAAACATACAGGCCTTGCAACAGGTCTGCTTTCCCATTTTCATATTCATATTCAAATCATTGATCTAAAGCCATACGTTCTCCTGCTTTCTCCTGCACCTTGATTTTAGTTTTTGCAAAGTGACATGATTTCACCATGGCAGGTGATTTCTTATATTGATCCCTTCCTCAGAATGATAGAGCTCTATACTTAGGGCATACTTAAAGAAAGTGGGACAGAAGGAGAATCATGTCCTTCTGTGATGAAGAATGCATTGAACCTGTGTGCTGTATTTCCCATGAAAGAGTTTTATGAAGTAGACAGAGAGAACTCTTGCTGTGTTGCTCTGAGGCTGGCTATGGCTGTGCAGTTTTGTGCATTATCCATTCCTGTTAAAACGCTGTTTATGCCAAAGTTGTATTCAGGATGCACCTATTGCGTTAGCATTTTCAGAGGATGTAGGCAAGTAAATTACTTTATATCAGTCCTGTGTGTAGACATGGAAGAAATACAGCAGAGAGAAATCTGCTGAGATGGAAATAATTCCCACAGAGCTCTAGCAGAAATCACATGACTTTAGCTCTCCTCTTCATTTCCAGCTCCCGTACAGTGTTTAATTATTTTCATGTGTCCTTTACCACATATATAATTTTTCACTTGGGTAACAGATGGTCCAAAAGGCAAAGGGATGTATCCTGCAAACTTTTCTTGGAATACTTTTGGGTGTATCCTGCTGGCTGGGCTACAGATAACTGGAAATGTACCCTTAGTATCTTGGGCTTATTTAACCATCCTTTGTTTGCTTTTTTTCAAGTGTACAGAAGCTGAATGAGTTTCTACTCAGTGATGAGATTGGAGATGACAGCTGGAGAGGTGGGGACAATTCTGTAGCTTATGAATCCTGTAAGAAGCACACAGGACTTGTAAGTTCTGTTTTTTGACAATGAATTCCAAACAGAGTGGCCACAGAGCCCAGTACGAGGCAAATGCCCTATTGATAGTGGTCAGGGGCTTGGGGTTCTTGCTTGACTCTGTTCTTGACTAGTTTTGCTCTTCTGTTTGGGGATTTGTGTTTCTATGGCATGAAGAGTCCTCAAACACATTGAAACTCTACTCAAGTGCCAATAGTAATAAAAATACCAGAACACATCAACACACTTATGTGGGGATCAGATTCAGCCTTCTTGGTCTTTAAAATTATTCCAGGTGCATTTTGTGTGGTTATGGAGATTGTAGTGTATATTGTCAGTACAATCATGGTACGTTGGACATTTTTAAGTAAGAACAATTCTTGCCCTGGGAAATTCAGAACTGGAGATTGAAAAAACAACAGTTTATGGAATAGAAATTCATTCCATAATGCTGTTTCTAGATATGCTAAACACAAGTCAATTTGAGTAAAATTTGAGGAATCATTTTAGCCAGAAACCAACCAGCCAACCTGAATACATAAATAAAATTTATTTATAGGCATTAAAAAAAAACACCTACAAAATTTGGGAAAACACTTCAAAGTTTTTCTAAAGCTAGCTAACTCAACTGTTTAAAACTGTATGTAATGATGTACTTTGAAATGTGACTAGAACTTGACAAAAGCAACCAAGAACTAAGATGGTAGCTCTACATGTCATTACACTTTCACTGATATAGCTTTGTTTGAAGCTACCTCAGGTAGGGCAGACCTACCTAGTGCTTTGAAGAGGCTGAGAGAGCTGAAATGTGAGATGGTTATGGATGGGAAAACATCAAAAGATCAATTCCTGTGCTTCAGTTAAGAATATTTAAAATTTTGCAGTATGTACATGACAGATACTGACAAGCATTTTCTTCTCTGTGACCAAGAGTGGTGGGAGAAATGGAAACAGATTCTCTTTTTGCTAAGAAACCAAATGCTATCCTTTCTTGCAAATTCCAACTTTCCTCTTTTCTTTCACCTCACTATGTAGCACACCAAGGCCATCAACAGGAGGCAGCCCTTAAGGTATCAGCTTGAAAACTATGAACAGTCATCAAGAAGGCAAACACGCCCTGTGGAGACCGATGACATCGCAATCAAGGTGGTCTGAAAACACCAATACATACTTTACAAACAGCAGGTTCTTCTGCTCAGTCCTACAACAGTACCAGAGAGAGTGCAATTGCTGCTGCTTTTCCAAAGGAAAATTGTCCAATCCAAGAACAAGCCAAAAAACCCTAATAAATTAGCACTTCAAACAAAAATAAAGTGAGAAGACTTCTCTTCAACCAACTCTTTATATTGCTTCAGGCAATATAATAACAGGCATCATGAGTCTAAAGGAACAAAAACTAGAGAATCCCATGTGCAGAAATTAAGAGATTGTTTAGAGTTTCCCTTCCTATGCTTCTATTTCACTCCTGGAATCAAGATCAAAACTGTTACATCATTTTCTGTCATCTATTATGACACATAATTTATAATTACATTATTTTAAGTCATTTTGGACAATTTTTCCCCATACATGTCCTTGTTTTCTATGCAAATAATGCTTCTTGCCTCTGTTAACTCCAAAGGAGGTATGCACAAAAAAAAAAAAAAAAAAAAAAAAAATAGCTGCTGTGTCCAGCATAAACCTTGAGAATGTTCAAGTAGTACTTTAGGAATCCATTCAGAATAGGCCATAGTATCACAGTGTGCAGAATGACACATTGCTTGATAAGCTATGGCATTTAGACTGTCACCTGTGAGATCCTATTATCGTTATTTTTAGTGTTTAATCTTTTACTTGACAAAATGAAAGTGTCTAGCATAACGAAGTTGAACTCAAGAATACCACCTCATTGCATTTCATACTGTATATATTTATTTATATATATATATACATATATATATATAATATTATATATATATTATATTATTATATTAATTATATATATCAATATTAATTATATATATAATATATATATATATGTATATAGCTTCTTATATTTCTAATTTTGGCTGTCTTTGCTCACCTACCTTGCATTTTTTGCATGTGCTTGAGAATACGTCATCATACCTCTATGGTGTATAGTAAATATTTTAAACCCAAACTACACATTCTATTTTTCACTTCTCATATTTTTCTATGTCTAATACGTGATAATTTCTTTGTAGGTGACCAACGGATACTTTTCATGGGGAAGTGGTTTAGCTACCTTGTCCAATATAAATATCAGAATCCCAACAGGTAGGATAAAAGCACATCTTAAATATGAAATACATAACATCAGAATGCTACTAATTCAATTTCTTAACTTTGTAAAAGCACTAAAGCACTTTTTAAAAGAAAAAAAAAAGAAAGAAAATCAAAAGTTATACAAAGTTATAAACTATATTGGGTGTGAACTTTATCATTGATGTAGAATGCTTTAAATAATAATAAAAAATTACATATTTTTCTTATAATTATATTGTTAATATTATCTTTATAAGATCAGAAAGAACACAAACATTAAGAATAAATATTAAAAGAATAGTTGCAGAAAATTTCATTATTATTTTGAATAAAATAGTCAAAAAAAAAAAAAAAAGAATTCTAGATTCATTCAGACCACAAGTCCATCTAGTACAGGATTTTGCAGGCAAAAGTTAGTGCACAAGGACACAGCAGTCATATAGTATACTTTTCCTGCCTTTCTTCAATATTACATTTTCCCAGTATAGAACTGTTTTCATCTCCGTGCATTCCTTGACCTTCATGCCATGATCTGTCAAGGAGTCTTTAATCAATTTATCTTTCAAGTTGTTCAGTTTGCCCGTGGTAAGGTTACTGGCTCCACAACATTTTTCGGCTAGGAGTTCCACATATTTACAGGTTTGTTTTGGAAGACCTACATAGCAAGTGTGAAAAATATTTTTTTATTTTGGTGATGTTGGTGATGTGATGATGAACACTGTAAAATTCTTAATGCCACTGTGGGAAGGAACTGCAGATAGGAAAGCAGTGCTAGGAAGAATGAATAGTACAGCAAAGGAGAAAAAATAGAGGATCTTTCAGTTGCAGATTATACATGTCCAAACAATATTCTCATCCTTTGGGAGCTTAGTGTGTACCTTGTACTTTCCATTGAAGTATATATCACAGATGAATAGATGCAATGTTGCCAGGTTACACAGTGGATGCTAACAATCTCATGTGCTGTAGAATTGGATCTAGCTATGTCTTGTAGACTTGAGAAGAATGTTTTGTTTTTTTTTTCCTGTTTTATGGTTGTTGTTTTTTTTAATATCTTTTTTATCATTATCATAGGTCAGATGACAATGATTGTGGGTCAAGTTGGCTGTGGCAAGTCCTCACTTCTCCTTGCTATATTAGGAGAGATGCAGACACTGGAGGGAAAAGTTCACTGGAGCAAGTATGTATCATATAACTACTAACTGTTCGTTTCAGTAAAGAAGGAGAAGTTGTATTTTGCTGTGAGAAATGTAAACTTCATGTCTCAGAACTGCTTGTTAAGAAAATACCTATTTGCATTACCTAGATCTTTTCTGAAAAGCATCATCAGCAAACTCATGCTTTTCATTGTTGTTTTGTTCATGGCTCAGGGCAGGTAGAGCAAAGTCAGAGCAGATAAAGTAGGGTGCCTTAGGAAGAGAAATAATCCAGTCTGGTAATTAATATCTAGTATACTAGCCCTAGAAGATGTCCTGAATAGAAAGAATATTTTACATAGAAAGAACAGAATATTATCCAATCACCTTCTGTGATGGGAGTCAGCTCTAATTTACAGTAGTCATTATGTGTGAAGAAAATCTTGTCGCAAAAAATCATTCAGTAAGAACAATAAGGTGCAATTCATGTCTGTTGTGTTTCATCAGAAGTGTTTGTTGTCTAGTAACACTTTATGTAACATTTTCAACTCAAGTTGTGCAAATGATGAGATTCTTCAAGAAGCATTGGAGGGATGGTAGAGTTAACCAGTGTGAAAGGAAAACTGATGCTCTGATTTGGATTCCTACCTAGTTTGTTAAATCCTTTGTTATGCTGCAACTGTACATAAGTGAGGAAATTACAGGCTGGAGCTTCTTCAGTTGAGAAGTGTTATTTGGTGTACTATATGGGAAAGGCTTACTTCACCACTGAAGGAAAAAAAAAGAATTAAATAATAAAATGTGAGGAATCCTGTCTCCCCTTCCTGATATCAGCCCAAGCCTCACCTGTTTAATTCAGTGCTACTCTTCACAGTACTCACACAGACAGCAGACTGAGGGTGCTGAATACTAAAGAGCTAAGATTCTGAAAAAGTTGTTGAGGGAATTGTAGATGGAGTCAGGCCTCTGGTTCTACATAGATTGAGACTCAATGAATGAGAACTATGGAAGCTAAGTGAGACAGCAACCTCCTTTCCACCATAGGCTAGACAGAGGTTATTGGAGAGATGTGTTGTAACCCCAAAACTTTTTCTCTGGTTTTAAAGATCAGTTCTGTTTCCTTGAATCTACCAAACCAAACTCTTCCTAAATAGCTCTTTCAGTTGAAAGAATGAATTTTGTCACAGAGACCGATGTTTTTGCCCCATCCCTTTATTGAAGTAAGTAACCTGCGTCATCATCTTTTTTCTTACAGCAGTGTTGAAAGCTGGATATTTTTGCTTTCCTGTGTTAGCATGCATGCCATTTTCTTGTTCTCTAGCCATATTTCACTGTCAGCTATTCTAAACATATGATCTCACTGGAGTAGTAGGTATAGTTGGAGCCAAGGCAAGACTAACTTCAGTGCAGTCACATGCAAATTTCAGCTTTGATGGAAAAAAGAATATGTGACTTGCCATGGTTAATTTCTTTGAGATACATCATGGAAACACTGACCTCACAATGAGGTGGATTTTTTCCTGAGTAGGTTAAGAAAAAAAAAGAAATCAGAAGAGCGTACATAAGAATTATTCCTGCAACTGTTTTTTAATACATGTTTGAGAGACTCAGATCAATTCCCATGGAAGGATATGAAATCTTAGATTAAAAAAATAGAGCAATGTTTGAAAGATACTGCATAAAAAATATGAAATAATTTTGAAGCTTCATAATGTTCAAGAGGGTAGGATCATAATGTCAGTCTGCACATAACCAAATGAGTAAACCAAGTTTTTGCAAACATCTCAGGCCTTATCGAGTATCTTTTTCATTGAAAACTATAATTTGGTACTGTGTTATAGCTGATGCAAGCATGGTTTTTGCTGATAATTTCAGACTGCCTGACAGGGAGATTAATACCTCAGTTATTTACCTGCGTAAGTGGACCCTATACTTTACAAAATCATAGTAAAGGTCCTATTTACTCCCTGAGATCCCTCTCCATGTGATCCAATATGCATGAATAATGTAGCTATTGATCCAGGTAGGAAGTGCAGTCTAGGTGAATTCAGGTGTAACAATACAGTATAGTAATGATGTATCAGACTTCAGCCACTGTTAATACTGGAGTGATCCTGCAATACATTATTGTGAAAGTCCATCATGAGGCTTGAATGCTCTGTTGCCATTGTGATTAGCTGCAGTGAGAACTGTACATCCTATTGCCCGAGTCGTCATCATTCTGCGGTCTTGGAGAAAGAAAGTGTGCACGAGATCATGAACTAGAACCAACCTTACAGGCCAGACCTCAGCTTTTGCCAGTTACATGAGACACAAATGTTAGACAAGGAATTGGCTTTTTGTTTTCCTGGTGAACAATCAGCTAGAGAGAATTCTTAAAAACTGAAGAATGAGGTTATCTGGATTCAGTGATTCAGCCATGCCTGTTTCAGATCTAAGGAATGGATGTGGTGACTATGCAGGGACATGTATTCTTCTCATGCACATCAAGCCAGAGTCAGAACCCTATTCTCAGACAGATAAACAGGGAAGAGTAGCAAAGTGGAAGGCCTTTCACTTAGGTTATCTTCTGTCTATTGAACTGGTTTCTGTGCAAACAGGTTGCTGTGTATGAAAAACATGGAAACCTGAAGAGTTACTGAAGAAAATATATCTTCCCAAATGGCTTGTTCTGTAAGCTAGCTATGGAAGACTTCAAGAAAATTAAGAAAAGTCAGCATTCCCCTAGAAGGATAACCAAGTACATCTGCCTACCAAGAGACTGCAACCACTAAGTCTCATAGAAAGCATTGGAATGCATTAACCATTGATAGATAAATTGTTAGCCATATAGATGGCAGTAGCTGAAGTCAGTATAGATAGCCATACTTTGATGAATAAAGAAATTTGAACAAGGATTACTAATGCCAGCGGGCAAAGAAAATTTCTAAATATTTCAGAAGCTTCTTCAGCTTCAGCCCTCTCCCATGCCCTGCTATTGCATCACTCTACTGAATTCTACCGAAAGCACATAACCAAATACTTAATCCCCTTGCATATGTTTATTAGTGAGATTATTAGAAAATGTGGGTTCTCACAGAACTTAGAATTCAAGAAAATTGAAGTGTAATTGTCAAGCATGCAAGGAAAAATGTCTATCCAAGGAAGAAGAGTTTAAGGAATCGAGATTCTAAAAATTGTTCTTGCTCACTCAGATAAGCTATCTGAACATAATGGCAAACATAATACTGGTAAGGAATTGTAAGGGGTTTTGTAGGGATTATACCCATTTTTTCTTAAATTTTACTTCTGAAGTCATCCCCAAATGCATTCATGAAAGCATTATCCCTTTCCTTCTCCACTATTTTAATGCACTATTGTATAAGTATAAAAGTCTGTGCTTTTTTAATAGAGGAAGTTTAGGGTTTTTTTTTTTGTTTGGCTTGACCTAATTTCTGATCTCTCTTTATTCTCTCAGTAGTCTTCATCTTTTGCTTCCCTTTAACTTTTTTTCATTGTAGAGAAAGTGGGAAACTTCTCTGATAAAGGACCAACTTTTATGAAGCAATATCTGTTTTGTGCTTCCTTTTGTGCCTCTCTGACTCCTCTGAGATAATCAGCAGGGCTGATCTAACATATTTTGTGTCAATTGGTGCATGAAGAAAACACAGTGATTGCGCACTTAAAGAAGCCTGAATTATCAAAGTTCTTAGAGAGCTCATGTGCAGCACAAAAAGCAATGTGTCTCAGTTCTGGCACTTTGGGAAGAAGCTTACTATGTGAGTCTGGCACAATAAGGGCTCTGCTATTAGAATTTTTCTGCCCTCAACAAGACAACTTGGATCCTCTGTTTATAAGTGCAGCTGCAGTTATGGTATTCCAGCAGGCTAGCAGACATTTCCGTTGCAGTAGTAAAGTATTTTATCTGGAGGGTTTGTAGATTTGGGAAGAGAGAATTTGTTTGTTTTGTTCATTCGGTTGTTTGTTTTGAGACGGATAACACAATAATATCATTTTCTTAGTCCTTTCTCTCTCTAGCCAACTTCCATTCACCTGGCATAAACTTACTCTCTAAGGATTTGCAGTTGCAGTGATGTGCCGTCATTCCCAGCAGCAAGCATCACTGCTGGTCTAGAACTCTTTTAGCTGGCATTCCATGCCCTTGGTACCATTAGTAAGTCAATTAATGGGCACAGAACACTGCAAAATCATTCATCAGATCCTTAAGAAGTAGAGGCTGACTTCTTAAGAAAAGTTTAGGCGCTGCAGTGCTATGTGTAGCTTGATGCAGTCTCTCTGTTACAAACCAGTTCAAAATTTGTTTTGGTTCAAAAGCAAAAACATGTCACCTGCACCCTGCAGAATTTTATCTGCAGAGCTTCTCTTTGGTCCAGAAGAAATCTGACATTAGAGTTGTTGCCAGCTTCCACAGGTCATTGGTGGAACAGTATGGAGAAGCTGGTTTATTGCTTGTCAACCTTTCATATGCCTATGCAACATTAACAATGTCAGTTTGAATAGACTGGAAGACACATTTTTCATTTTTAATGTGTTTTCTAACGACATAGTTTGCCTGATAAACCACTATGCACAATAGATATAAAGCTGTAGTATTTCCAAAAGTTCTATGCCTTTGATTGAACCATGTTTATTTTCTCTTTGAAAGGAGGAAACACACATACACAAAAACTGATATTTTATTCTTAAAATATGTACTTAACTACAGTTCCCCTGTATATAAAACTTGCACAAAAAGCTATTCTTGGTGTTTTCTGCTTACTAAATGTCGTTTACCATAACTTGCAGTGTAAATGAAACAGAGCCTTCTTTTGAAGCATCCAGAAGGTATTATCTCTGTTTTCAGTGTGTCATAATGCACTCATTTTTCAGAATTTCCTCAAACTTTCATCTTTGTACCCTCCAGCCATCTCTGTTTCCTTCCTGTTGATAATCATTTACTATAGAAATAACTGGCAAATTGTGCTAAATCCGGTGGATCCCGATCTTTCCCAGCCACTGTACCACTACCTCAGTCTGAAGTCCAGCTCCTCAGAAAGGCCAAAGACTTGAAAGACGTTGAGCACTTTCAGCTCTTATTCAACATCACTGGGAGTTCATATCTCACAAGACAGGGCCTCAAGATACAAGTCATCATTACATGTACCCTCCCATGTGCATATCTTCTGTTCAGCACTGGGTTTTGTGCTGCTGCTAACACAGCTCGACAGCTGTGTGATGGAGCAAGGCACACGGTGTGCAAAGGGAGCTGGCTGTGGTCTGGGTGAAGTTAGCCTGTGATTCCAGCCCTGCTTTCTGTGAGATGGCCTGCAGGTTTAAAAGAAGGGCAAGCTAAATCAAAAAGACATGCCATCAGTGACAAACAAGTAGTGGCACAGATAGCTGTGGTTGGGACCCACACCGTTATTTGATATCTGACAGTCCTAAGGACATATTTCATGCTAGTCCATATTAAATGCCTATGAACTGCTAAAATTTTGGGATACTACTGACTGCTTCTAACCAGCTATTACTCATACCCTCGCACCCTCTCTCTCAACAGCAAATCCTAGATACTTAGATTCAAGGATACATCAAATATTTGATGCTTGATGTTTGAAGCAATACAATCAAAGAAAGATAAGTGTTTAGATTTACAAGCCATTAACGGTGCTTCCTCACACATTTCAGCATATCAGAAGAATGTCTGGTATTACACAAAATTTTTAGCCACAGTACACAGGCAAAACAGACAGAAATAAAGTATTCATATTCTTACATATTTTATGAGGCTTTTAAACACAATGAAAAGTAAGTCTATTAAGTACTTGGGATACTGTAATTGTAGAAACATAGAATCATTAAGCTTGAAAAAGACTACTAAGATAATCAAGTCCAATCATCAGCCCATCACTAACACGCCTAATGATTCCTTCCAAGAATGTATTGAACTGTCTTCTCTACCAGTACCATGTCAGTCACTGAGCAAATAACAGACTTAGAGGAAAAAATATTACCTGAAAAAAACCTGTATTTCACATGCACAGCCTGGTACAATAATCTAAAACTTCAGAAAGCAGTGAGTAAGTATGCTGATTACATCTGAACAATGCCTTTTCATTACCTATTCTAATGTTGGAGGAAAAAAAGAAAGAAATAATCTGTCTCTTTTTTTTTTTTTTTTTTTTTTTTTTGTGATAATTTAATTATACTGATTTGTAATCCTCTTTTGGATTGAAACTGCATTTAGTCAATTGAGGTTGGTAACAGCCATTTATAGTAGAATAGACTACATGGGATAACATAGGATATAGACTGTGCCACCAGGGGAGAGAGTGGGTGCTGCCCTAACACAAGCATCTCATTTGCAGTTCTTCCCTTCATTTCTGTAACAATTGCTTTGTCTATGTGTTTCTCTGTATTTTTTATGAGCACATACTATTTCCCAATTATCAGACACTTCATAATGTGGGTGCTTTGCTTTTTGCTAATGGTCTTTATTTATCTACAGTAAAAACAGATACTCGGTGGCTTATGCAGCTCAGAAGCCATGGCTATTGAATGCAACAGTGGAGGAAAACATTATCTTTGGGAGTCCATTTAACAAACAGAGGTAAATATCAATCCAGTCACAGAAAGAAACGAACAAACAATAAACCCTGACTGCTTCCTTTAAGGGGTTTTGGCTTCTCCTTCTGGCAGTGCGTATCTAAGATGTGTGTGAGGAATCACGTGGCAGAAGTGGTTCTCATGGATACAGCAGAAGCCATATGTACATTTTTCAAGCAGCTAAACTTACGTGGGATGAAACCCATCTTTGGGTGCTGGTGACATATTTTTAGAATCATAGAATCCTTAGATTTGGAAGGGATTTCTGAAGGCCATCTAGTTCAACTCCCCTGCAATGGACAAGGAAAACAAAGCTAGATCAGGCTGCCCAGAGTCTAATCCAGCCTTGCCTTTTCTTTTAATGGAGCTTGGGGTTGCCAAAGGATGCTGGAAACAGAGATACTAGGCATATTTCCACGGAGTTTATGTCCTTATCCTGCTGTGACCAGCTCGATGGAGCATTCACTTCACAAAAACAGTGCACAAATGCAGACAGAGTTCCTCCAGGAAATAACCTTAATTCTTCCTATAGAAGTACAGGAGAAGGGAGTGTAAAAGCTGAGGTGTGTTTTCTGTTCTGCCTGCCGAGTGCTTGTGTCCTATGTCCTTCCAAAAAGGCCAGCTAACAAATGCAGTGGAAAAAATGACTTCAGTAAAACAAAAGCAACACTTGCTTTGTTTTAAATTCTTAAAAATACATTTCATTCCTCTCAGTGTTTTCTTTGATAAGCTGCTTGGTTCCATTCCCACTTAATAAAAGTTAAGAAATGTCTCAAAATCCAAATAAGCTTCCAAAATGTCAGGAGTAGATTCTTCAGCTAGTTCATCAGCCTAACTTAATTCATACCAAAGGGGCAAAGCTGAATTACACCACTCAAATATTCTGATCTCAGACCTGATTCTGACCTGCGCCTAGCGGCTTCACAACAAATTTCAAATATTTCTGAGTGGTTTTCTGATTCTGGAAAGATCAGAAGCACTGTAAGGATTCTCTGCCCTTTAATATCACACTGTAGCAAATGAAGAGGCACCTAAAAGGGGAAGAAAAATAACTCATTGAAAAATGCCTTCAAATACTCCAGAGTCCAACAGAAGTGCTCAGTGGTGAGGAAGAACGTAGTCAGTAATTGAGGTAACTGAATCTTTAAACAGCAACCTTACCAATAAAGATCTCCAATGAATACGTACGTTAATTTTTTCAGTGTTTTTGACTTATTTATTTTTGCAATTATCCAAATATCACAGAGCCATAGTAACTTAGCAGGAAATTTGAGCTGGAAGGTTTTTGTGTTAATGAATTAAGTGGCTGGTTAAATAATTGTAATGATCATATTGGTTTTATAGGTACAAAGCCGTTACAGACGCATGTTCTCTGCAGCCTGACATTGACTTACTACCATTTGGTGATCAGACAGAAATTGGAGAAAGGGTAAATAACCTGGAGGCTTTCATATTTGTTTAGTCTGTGTGTTAAGAAGAGTCTTCCTGATGCTACTCAACTGTCCTGTGTTATCTGCTACAGTGGTTTAGGAGTCATGACACTGAAAAAGGTGTTATGGCAATAGACAATATTGTTTTGTAATCTCTTATCTGGAGAGGACAAATTTAAACAATGTCTTGTTTAAGAGATCACATTTTGCCTCCATATTTTGCATATATTGCTTTTTGTTGTGTCATGGAATGCCTACACTGCATGTTTTGATACACTGTGGAAAGCAGAGATCCTCAAGGGAAGAGGTTTGTGCAGATTTCATAAGAAAATTGGGAAAGATTTATACTGGAGTTATTTCAGTGAGTTTATTGTTCACTGTGTAACAAATCCACATCTCTAGCTGTCAGTATCAGAATAAATAGGCTTTGAAGTGAGGGGGGAGATGGCCCTTATATAGCGTGTTTGTATAGCAGAGTGCTGTTGTACTAAGACCACATGAAATTTATACTGTGTTTTTGGTCCTACAGAAAAATAGGGTTACTTGGCACTGATCTTAAGCCCGGAGAGCTTTATTTCCAAAATCTTGGCAAGCCCATATCAACTGTAGTCTGAATACGTGTGAATGAGTTTATTTTAAAAAGCTAATTCTGGTATCCCAATAATGCATATGTGGCCATATAAAGCTTGATTGAACATCCTTTATTAAATACTTGAGCGTTTAGACATGACTGAGCCCCGTACAGCTACAGCACAGGTCTCAGTACAAAAACTAGTGAGTTTACTAACAGCTCAGGGTCGTGCATGACTGGTAGGCACTTCATCCTTGAACTATAGGGTAGACATGCCTGAAGCAAAAGTGCCATTTTAATGGTTGAGAAACTCTTGAAAAACAGAGAAAAAAAAATCTTACTGTGCTCCTTTTAAATAGCTGCACTTTGATTTCCATTTTTTTGACATTTAAAACGTTTTGAAAATCTTTTTTCCTTTTTCAGTTGTCTCCAAAGGGACATTTTGATCACAGTCTCTCAAGTTTTGCTTGCAGAATTTGATGCTAGCACTAGTTGGATTTTGCAATCAAAGTATACTGTGCTTACAGAAGCTCTTCATAATTTGTACTAATTGTACTATTAACTATCCAAGATTAGTTGATGAATAGTCATTTTTTCTTTGACTGTTATGGGAGGATTATGTTTGTTTATCAACAGGATTAGCAATTTAACTAACTAATTGATTTTTATTGGAACTGTATAATTGTACAAAACTCACATTTTCCAATTCCTGTCATAATGTTTATTCACAGTTGTGTATTTCTGATCTATTATATCATTAGGGGATTAATTTAAGTGGTGGCCAACGACAGAGAATCTGCGTGGCTCGAGCACTCTATCAGAACACCAACGTTGTCTTCTTGGTAAGATTTTTCTTTTTCGTGTGGAACATGAAAAGTTTGTAATGGAGCTGTTATTCATTCTTTGTATTTACCTTTAGAATAGTTTACATTAGTTCTAGAAAACTGTAGGGAGTTATATTTGACTAAAAATCCAACGTATGGGGATGAGAGATAAAAAGCCACCAAGAAGCAACATCAACACATACTGATAGAGGTGGTATCTACACTGAAAGAAGAGATCGTATTGTCTTTTACTCACTCACAGTAGTATCTTGTATCAACATAATCCTGCTGAAATGAGCAGGATTTCTGGATAAGGAGAAACACCATAATGCAACTAATTCTGAGCTATAAACAGACTGAGTGTTCAGCAGTCTGCTGCAGAACTCTGTGGATTCAGGAAGACTTTCCATTCTCTGATAAAAATTCCAGGACATGCCAGAAATTTTAGGAGGCTCCTGTTCATGCAGGGCTTGGTTTTCTTCGTAGAGAAGCATTTGCACATCTGAGTACTATTTTATTACTGCTCATACTCGCTCTAAGTCAGGACCAACGAAACCTACAGTTTAGATTGGGTGAAATCAGTATAGTTACTGACTCAACTTCACCTTAACTGTGTGAATTTCCCACCACAATTAGGCCCAAGCCTAATTTTGGGTTCCAGCATTTTCAAATTTGAATGGGAAATTTCAGATCTACCTGAAACTTCTGATCTACCTGTCAGGTTTACTCCACACTGTTGATGTGGCATCAGCACTGCAGACATCTAGACGACAAAAACTTAAATGAGTCTACTACTACAAATTGAAGAATAATGGATTCTAGCTCACTGTTTCATCCTGCAGCCCTTTAACTAATTCTTAGTTATTAGAAAGAGTTAAAATATTAGTAATGACAAATGCTTTATATTTTAAAAGGATTATTTAAATTTAAAAAATAAATATACATTTTGTAAAATCCTATTTTATTTTATTTTTTATTTGATTGCAGGATGACCCATTCTCTGCTCTGGACATTCACTTAAGTGATCATTTAATGCAGGAAGGAATTTTGAAGTTTCTTCAAGAAGATAAGAGGACTCTTGTTCTGGTGACGCATAAGTTACAGTATCTACCACATGCTGATTGGGTAAGGGAAGAGATATCATCATGCAGATTTGGTAATGGACAACATACATTTGAAGTTAGCACTATAAGTGCTTAACAACTCTACTATTGCTTTTGGTAATAGAGTGTCCCTTTGGTTCTATATATTTCTATATATCATGTGTCTAACTGCAACATTACAAAATATGGCTCTTACAATGGAAAAAAAAACATTTTATTTTTACTTTTTTTTTTTTAATTGAAGCCACCAGAGAATTGTGACTCAACTGCAGTCATGACTATAACTTACTATGGCTTATCCATGTTTTTTTACAAGTACAGATAAGACTGGCTTATAGACGTTTCAGTTTTTGAGCTGTGTCAATAAACTTTAAAAATTATTATTAAATATTGAATACAATGAACACCAAAATGTGCATAATGGTTTAATGTCACCGATTCTAAGACATGTCTTGTAGGATTCACAGCAGTGATTATGCTCTATATGTTGCTGGATAGACCTACTGGATGCTTTTTCCCCTAGATCATAGCAATGAAGGATGGAATGGTGCTTAGGGAAGGGACTCTAAAGGATATCCAAAACAATGATGTTGAGCTCTATGAACACTGGAAAACTTTGATGAATCGCCAAGATCAAGAATTGGAAAAGGTAAACAGGCAAGGATGGCAAAGAAATATTTTTCAGTTAATTAAAAAAACAAACAAACAAACAAAAAAAACTTTAACATGTCAGGAAGCAAGTTTTAAATTAGACACTAAGAAAAAAATACATGAACTGTGAGGAGCTTAAAGGACTGGAATAGATTGTCTGGGAAGTGTGTGGTACATCTATCATGAGCAGTTTTTAAGAACACATTAGGTTAACATCTTTTCGGAATGTTGTACCAAACTGATCTACTTCAGCAAGGGGCAGATTAAGGGCTTTCCTAAATTCTTTCTTAGCTTTATGTTCTATTACTGTCGTAATCATTCAGGATTCCCTAAGAAGTATTTTTTAAAAAAAACTATTTTATCATACGAGAATGAGCAAGGAAAAGAGAAGAAATAAAGTGGTCAAAGAGGGATTTTCTAAAAGATAAATTCTAAAATGCTGTGCCTTTGTATTCTGTGGCCTAACTGGTCCAAATAAAGTCTCTTTGAGGTTAATGTTACTGCTATGACTGTGGCAGATTGCTCTCTTATTTATGTTGTTTCTTATTTATATCTTTAAGTTTTCTTATTACAGGATATGGAAACTGATCAGACTACTTTGGAGAGAAAAACTCTTAGAAGGGCCATGTACCCCAGGGAATCCAAAGCACAACTGGAAGATGAAGATGAAGGTATGTTTTATCATTTCATTTATTTATTCTATTATCATGTATATAATTGCCTTCCCACTTGAATATCCAAACCTGGAAGTTCATAACAATTAAGTAGGAAGATGTTAGAGAGTGGCTGGATATCAGCAGCTGGCAACACAACTCATCGAGAACATCATTGGGATGCCACACCAGGTGTAAATGGAGTAATTACTTCTAAGAAACAATTGGATGGTGCCAGATAAAAGAAAAGGTGAATTACGGGCTTCCTTTTATTAGGAGCATTAATCGCAGGGAGTCTCATGGCAACGTTGGCTGGAATGACTGCAGAATGCAGATTTGCTATTTGCAGGCTCTTTATTGGGTCCTTGTGTTTAATCTGACAAAATTCATGATAGATTGCCATGTAGGTCATAGGTCTCAGGGGCTTGGACAGCTGCATTTTGAAGAGATACCCAATCACTGAGCAATAGGCAGAGCTGGATACCAAAGTCCTTGAGATGGAAATATTACACTGTCTTCTTATTTCTTTGGCAAATATGAGCAGAACACTTCTTACTATGTGCAATCATCAGTACACTTTATCAGTTGAATGCTTGGAGGATTTTAAATTGAGGTCACTTTCAAGCTCCTCTGTACAGGAAAGCCTTGCCAGCAACCTAATCTCAGAAACTGGAAGCCATTATCTCTTTGTGGAATGAGATAGAAAATACGGGGAAAAAAGATATGTCCTTACAGTCCATAGAATGTCTACAAAAATTAGGTATCATTAAGAATATAAAACACACATCAGTAACTTAGAGGCTAAAACATAACCTGACAATACATTCTAGGTCATCCATACTTATTCTGAGACTTACAGAAAGTACATAAAGTCTCTGTGTCCCAAGAAATATACAATTTTCAGAAGTGTGTAATAATAATAACAACTTCCAAGAAAATACTTGATGATTCATTTTTAATGTTCAAAGTCAGATATAAGTTGTATGTCAGCTTGGGGCTGCCAAGAATTGCATTTATTGTTAGTTTACAGCTATCAAGCAAGAGCAGGTAATCATTTCTTTTTCTTAAGTGTGGCCTGAAAAACTGTCAGATGCATTTTCTTTTTATTTCGAGAAAATATAAACTGTAATATTTATGCACATATGAAATATATATTTCCTATAGCAGAAGTCTACCATCAATTGCGTGATTATATGAAAACTATTATACAGTCAATGGTAGGCTAGAAGAAACATTAATCCTAAATCTATATTCTTTTAAAAAGACAAAATTTTAGTAGCTCTAAATAAAGTAAGAGTAGAATTCCTTAATGCAACAAATGACACAGTCTCTTGATTGGAAAACTTGAGTGAGCTTTTTGTACTCTTGCGTGTAACCCAAAGAATTCTATTGACAATACAACAAAAGCAGCAGAACAGGTTGGAAAAGACCTAGTCTTTACTATTAATACAGTCAGTACTGAAGACTTGAGTTATAAAAATATTTTATTAGCAAAACTGTCACTTGTCAAAGACAGCCTATAGATTACTTAAAGAGCATAGGGGAATTCTTAAGAAGATACGTCTAGAGCATTTTCTCTTTTCAAATGACAAATTGAATTTTGCCATTAAGAAGTAAAATTCAAAGAAAAAAATGTCAACCACATACAGTAAAACCATATATAATTGTACTGAATCCAAGCTAACTTGATACAATATCCGAGTCACAGAGGAAGAAGAGGAAGAAGATGAAGATGATAACATGTCAACTGTCCTGAGGCTCAGAACAAAGATGCCGTGGAAAACCTGCTGGAGATATCTAACTTCTGGAGGATTTTTCTTGCTCTTTCTGATGATTTTCTCAAAGTTGTTGAAACACTCAGTTATAGTGGCTATAGATTATTGGCTTGCTACATGGACATCCATGGACAATGCAAATGAATTAAGGAATCCTGATGATGATCGGAGCACAGAAAAGGTGGGTCATATTTTGGAGCTTGACTGAATAAAATTATTTTAAAAAGAGAGAGAAAATGTTCTAAAGTAATTATTTGCTGTTATCTCAAAACCAATTGAACTGGAAAGACAGATATCATAAAATCAATCATTAGATACAATGAATGAATAAATTATGCAAAAATACAAGGCAATTCAAATTTTATCATCTTTTCAAAATGATAAAACTGAACCAAAAGCATGTTTGAAGTTAAAAAAAAATGGTTGAAGAATGAGCAATCTCATACTAAACTTTTTCATGAGGATTTTTTAATTCCTATGACAATTACTCCATTTTTCTCAGTATTAACTATCCACTTATACCCTGCCAAAATAGCAGAAAAACAAACAAAAAACAAAAAAACCTCTTCAGATGGACTACTTAAATAGGATATGTTTGTTGCTATAAATTTGACTTGTCTACTGTCATGGTATTTGTGATTTTTGGTTTTCGATATTCCACATCATAACATCATGTGGGGCACTGGGAGTTTAACTGTTAATGCTCAAGTTCTGGGTACCTGCCCGGAAGAGAAGAACTACATTCCCCAGGGGGCTTTGCAGTCAACAAAGAGGAGATATAACTCCTGGCAAGGTTACCTGATGTGTTCTTCGTCTGCTCCTCCCGTCTCCCTGCTGCTCAACTGGACTGCGCATCTCACCTCAGCATTGTGGTGAGCCTATCCACCTTTCGGACATTCCCTCTCTCATTATATTTGAATTATTAACTTCAATTTTAATTATATTGTATTATAGTGTGTTATCTTGCATTCCGACAATGTATTTAGTAAATTAGTTTGTTTCTCCTCAGATCATTGCCGCTGTTTTTAATTATTTTGGGGTCCCCTGTTCCCTTTTTCTGGAGGCGCAGATTTTGCGATATCCCTCCTCCCCGCTAGTCACGGAACTGAGCCAAACCAGCCCGTAAACTGTTGACATCTACAAATATCTTATTAAAATCCATTTGGCAATTTTTTAGAAGTCTTAAGTATGGTATAGCCCTGGCAGATTAATTGAGAATTTTCTCAGGGAATTTTAGTAGTGCTTGAATTTAATAATGTGGAAGTTTCCAAAGTCTCCACAGTGCCTCAGTTTTTGAGAGGTTCTACTCTGGTTGTCTGAGTTCCTTGGCTAACCATTTGCATACTTTTGTATTTACCCAGCTAGTCTATCTTCATAGTTTCGTCACTTGAAGGTCGTGAAGAATACTTATCAGTAGTTTGAAAGATCTTGGAACTGCCAGATATTCTAATAATGTGAACTTGTTGTATTTCAGTTTCATTATAGCTCTTTTATTTTCCCCATAACGATACTAATATAATCACAAAGTATTTGCAATATGACAGATCAGCTATTTGGTACAAGCTAGTAGTTCCAAAGAGCAGTACTTTGGGAATTTCATAGCAGAAAAAATACTTGTGTTTACTTCTATGACTGATGTCTTTGTCATTTTATTAGACTTACCATGTAGCTGTCTTCAGTATCCTCTCTGGAGCAGGGATTGTCCTATGCCTCATAACATCTCTGACCGTGGAGTGGATGGGCCTCACAGCAGCCAAAAATCTACATCATAATCTCCTCAATAAAATCATCCTTGGACCAATCAGGTATAGCAAAAATAATGCTCCCCCTGCACATTTATTTTTATTGCTTAGCTATAGAAAATGTCTGTACACAGCCTTGTGTTCTGCCTAACCAAAATTTTTATCCAAAACTGGAATTCCAAATCAGATAACTTTTTGCTTTTAATTTGTTCCACAGGTTCTTTGACATGACTCCACTGGGGCTTATTCTAAATCGCTTTTCTGCTGATACAAATATAATTGATCAGGTAGACGTATCAATATATTCTATTTATTATATCTTGGCTTTGTAAATTTTAATTTAGCTAGTGAATAAGACACATTGAAATATTAATTAGAGAAAAACATAGCAAATAGAAGCTCTGGAAATTATATTAGACAAATTCAAAATATAAACTGTTTGCATATTTGTAGTAATGAGAGCATGCAACTAATTAAAAGCAGTAGGAGATCTTAGTTCTTAATTTCTTCAAAAACAAACTAGTTGCTTCTGTTAAGAGATCTGGATTAACAAAACACCAGATTTGGAGTTCAAATCAGGAAAACAGAGAATAGAATATTACTTTTACTATGAGGAGTACATGTGAGGTAAGGAGATGGTCCATTGTAGCAGTAGCATATATGAATTTAGAGTATTCAGGTAAAGGAATGGATACTTTCACTATGTCTATTTATCAAAACATTTGGATGAGCTACAATCCTGAATATAAGAGTGATGAGAACATGAAAATAAAATTGAGAGGTTCTGTGAAAGTGTATGCTGTTTCTCTAAATGTTTTATATGTCAATATTCACTTTCTTCTCTGTTATATAATTGAGGTGGAAATGGTCTTTGGACTATTGACCTCTAGGAAAAAAGAACTACTAAGTTATTTTTTTACTTCTGCACATACAGGCTCCTGGTATGAGGCAAGAGTCAATGAACCTATAATATATCATTCCACTTTCCCTGTGGCACTGAATAGGAAAAAGCATGTAGTGGTACTACTAGGGTTTTGTTTTGTTTTGTTTTTTGTGTTATATATGTTTTTCTTTTTGCTCTAGCACATTCCTCCTACCCTGGAGTCTCTTACCCGGTCCACCTTACTCTGCCTATCAGCCATCGGAATGATCTCATATGCCACTCCATGGTTCCTTGTCGCCCTTGTGCCACTAGGGATAGCATTTTACTTCATCCAGAAATACTTCAGAGTTGCTTCCAAGTATGTATTAAAAATTTCTGAAAATTTCTTTTATAAAGTTGATACTTAAGAACTGTGTTGGAATGTGAGGTTACTGGAACTAGTAAAGGGGTAAATTGTCATAGTGACCATAGTGTGTTGTATCTGATTCTGAGGTGTGAGTTTGAGCCATATGTTAGAGGATATTTCCAGCTGACTTGATGTCAAATACAGCATTTTGGGAAGTAACTAGTTGCTTCAGTTGTGTACACTATTCACTATGGAGATCAATGAACATGAATATTTTTAGTCAAATGAGACAGCCTCGCTCTTGATCTTTTGAGAGCTAGAGAATAGAAAATAACTTTCTGGATTAATGTCAGTCATTGCTTTTTCTTTATATTGGAAAAAAATTCTGCAGAATGCCATTTCTACTGTACAGTAACATCTCATATTCAGAATGGTTTGGCTGATTCTGAAGAGTACATAGTTTCAGTAAGAAGAGCCTCAGAGTTCTGTTTTTAGTGCCAATATGTAGTTTATTAACACATCTTAAGCAAGTCACTCAAAGGTTTTTCTTAAATTCACTCAGTCATGTTTCTTGTTTTCATTTTCTTTTTTTAATCAGCCAGATGTCTGGCTGACTTACTCCATTTTCTGATACTTAAAAATGCACATCAAGGTGCCTGCTGACAAGAAATGCATGGAAGCCAAAATGACCTACGAGACAGCATTTGTCACTGCAGACCCTGTATCCACAGGAGGTACATGGTAAAGCATTAACTTGTACTGTAGCATCCATCTAAGACAGACAGTGATTTTCAACTGAGTGATCCAGTACAGCTGATTTCTTATTTAGGTAGCCTGAAAAAGAATTGTGCCAGTTATTTCTGATTTTTAAGTCAGTGCATCAGAGGGGACATAAAGCAACATACCAGTAATTCAGCTTCACTGTAGCCTACTTGTCTCCACCTTTTCTGAGAATTTCCAAGGATGTTTTTTCATAAGAAAATTCCATAGTATCAGAATTGATAAAATACAAACAGTTTATTTCTGAAATAATTTGCTTAATTTGTTTAAGATTTGGTGGAAACCTTGTTCTGTCCTCACTGTGTTTCCAACCTAATGCTGTGCAGGGCAGACCAACAGGTCTTAAGGTGCCTAAGGAACCAGGAAACCTCTATTTCATTCATAAATCCTTTATGATCTTCTGAGTGTCACCCTTTCCTTCTACACACAGCAGTGTACATTGTTTAAATTTCTTACTTAAAATACACGAGAGGAAACAAAGCCTGATGTCTTGGGCCCCCAGAATGTACTATGTTTTCTCTCTGTGATTTTATACAGGAGAATAAACTTTCCATCCATCTCCAGACCTGTTTTTTTCACAAGCTATACTGATAGCCACAACATACAAGCCAACAAGAATTTGGTTACCCCTGTAGGTCAGCACACACATGCATCCATTGGCTCTGCAGTTGCAAGTCTATAACAACTTCATTCATTTTATCTCCCTACAGTTTTCTGGGAAAACGTGCATCAACAAGTGTTTTTTTTTGAACGTGCTTTTAAATGAAATTATTTTAAATCATTTGTAAGGCTTATAAGTTTTTGTTGTGTTCTTTCACTTCATGATAGAAATGAATAAATGCGATGGTTATTTGTAGAAAATATATTCCTGGGAAATGGAGGATGAATGAATAGCTTTGTCCACTATTTATAACATACTTGCATGCAGTACTTTCTAGACATATAAGCTTCACTAATTTTTAGAAATGCAAATATTTACAGTATTTCTTACAGCACTTTGACTCTTTCTTGTATTTTTCCATTACATTTCTCAAAACCCTCTGTGTATTTTCCATCATAAATCTGAAATAGAGCATATTTGTCATCAAAACATAAGCAGCAAATTCAGTTCTGTATATTGTAACATTCAGCATCATGGAGCAGTTATTTCTGCTGACCTATCTAATACAGTGTGCAAACATAGTAGTATTTTAATAAGGAGTTTAAATATCTAATGTTCTGGCCTCTGTTCTGTTTATACTTCTACAGCTGGCTGGTATGCCAACAGTAGTGTGTTAAAGAAAGATGTATTTGTCTCTGTGCCTTGGAAAACATTCCTGTTCCAGGAGGCTGGAACTTTTAAACACCATTGCTGTATTCAGGTTTTGAAAATAAGGAAGTTTCTCATTCATATCTTTTCTCTATTGGTGCGATCTCTATTTCAACCACTGAGGCAATGGTTGAAATACTCTACAATTAGATCAGTTATACTCTGCCATATTTTATGTTCAACATGTTTGTGTACTTACAGATACTGAAAATGAGGAAAGGTTTACTTGGAAAAGCATTATCATTGTCAGGCCAAGTGATATGCTTACAATGAAATGGACGAGCTTGCAGATAGACAAGCTTTGTTTTATACCTGATGTAAGAGCCACAAATGATGTACTATGAAGTTTCAAACTGTTCTGAGCTGATTATATTCATTATATTAAACTAGAATTTTTGAGAGTAAAAGTTGCTAGTTGCTGGCTATAATTGACAGCAGGGTTTTACCAGGAGAGAGCTGCTGATGTTGCTGAGAAAAGAAGCTTAGCTGTGGCCAAAGACTGGAGCCATGAAGATGGCTGGGATGTGATTCATAGAATCATAGAATCATAGAATCACCAAGTTTGGAAAAGACCTACAAGGTCATCCAGTCCAATCATCCTCTTATCACCAATATTTCCTACTAAACCATATCTCTCAACACAACGTCTAAACATTCCTTGAACAGCTCCAGGGTCAGTGACTGCACCACCTCCCTGGGCAGCCCATTCCAGCTCTTGGCCACACTTTTAGAAAAGCAGTATTTCCTAACATACAGCCTGAATCTCCCCTGGCACAACTTGAGGCCATTCCCTCTAGTCCTATCACTAGTTACATGAGAGAAGGGGCTGACACACAGCTCACCACAACCTCCCTTCAGGTAGTTATAGAGAGCAGTAAGGTCTCCCCTGAGCCTACCCTTCTCCAGACTGAACAATCCCAGTTCCCTCAGCCGCTCCTCATAAGACCTGTGCTCCAGACCCCTCACCAGTTTTGTTACCCTTCTCTGGACACACTCCAGGGCCTCAATGTCTTTCTTGCAGTGAGGGGCCCAAAACTGAACACAGTACTAGAGCTGCATCCTCACAAGTGCAGAGTAGAGAGGGATGATCACCTCCCTACTTCTGCTGGCAGCACTCTTTCTGATGCAAGTTAGGATGCCATTGGCCTTCTTGGCCACCTGGGCACACTGCTGGCTCATGTTCAGCTGAGCATCGACCAATACCCCGAGGTCCATTTCCTCCATGCAGTCTTCCAGCCACTCTGCCCCTAGACTGTAATGTTGCCTGGGGTTGCTGTGGCCTAAGTGCAGTAGCTGGCATTTGGCCTTGTTGAACCTCATCCCATTGGCTTCAGCCCAGCAATCCAGCGTGTCCAGATCCTTGTGTAGAGCCTTGCTACCCCCAGACAGATCAATACTTCCTGCCAACTTGGTGTCATCTGCAAAAGTCTTCTATAGCAAAAGAGAAATGTGAGATTTCTGTGCCAGACTGTAGAAATTCGCTACAGAAATTGTAACTTGTGCAATTCTGAAAAGAATATGTGCAATACATAAAGTGTTGATTGTTGTCCATTATGAGGAGCTTTTTCTATAGACAGAGATGTAACAGCTGCCGTTTTGTCTTCCTGCCCCAGGGACCTCCAGGAACTTGATGACAGCACCCAGCTACCATTACTCTGTCATTTCTCTGAAACAGCTGAAGGCCTTACCACCATCAGAGCATTCAGGTGAAAATGATGAGAGAGAAGCTTGGGTTCTGCTCTAACTCATGTACCTTGCTTGGAGCATATGAGAGGGCAACGTATTTGATTTGGTAGATTTATAAGCAATCTTATAAAAGGGTAGCAGGGTTTGTTTTATTGTTTTGCTACACCTCTAAACACTTGTGCATGTGTTCAGCAACATAATAAGTATCTGCATTGTTTCCACTGAATTAAAGATGATAACATTTTTAGGACATGTTATTTAAATTTTTAGGATGTTTGGTCTAACCATGCTTTACTTGGACAGTAGGAAATTCTCCTTTGCAGGGCAGGCACAGGCATCACTCCTCCAGTATTTGTGCTATATCTTACAAGTTGTGTTATTCAAATGCTTCTGAATCCTTTCTGTATTTACCCTGCACCTCAGGATGCACTACTACAGTACTTGCTAACTAGGATATAAAATTTGCAACTAGAAAGGCTTTCCAGGAAAACTATGGCAGAAGAGATCTTGATATTCTAAGACCTAACCTTCTCAACCAAATTCAAGTATTAAATTCCAGAAAATTCTGAGAATCTTTCTATTTGACCACGCATATATTTTTTCTAATTATTTTAGGAATTATAGACTAAATTTTCCTTGTATACCTACTACATTACAGCTAGCATGACTCTATCATACTTGATGTTGTCCCCTGATAAGCATAACTTGCATTCATTCTGCACACAGTAGAATTTCTCCTAGAGGAGATCATAATAGTACTCTTTTTACACATATTAGATCCACTTCATCTCAACTAGAGAGTTGTGATATTTTTCCCAGTTCTACTGGCACCTGTACATTTTACACAGTATTGATCAGGCTGATTTTAAATAACATGACACTTTCCAACAGGAGAGAATTGGGCAGTGTGGGATAGAGTCAAAAGTCCAGATGATCAGTCTCATCTTCTCAATAAATTACACAGTTCCTGAGTCTGTTTTATCACTTCAAGCTAGCTTTAGGACTATTAGTTCAGAATGCTGCAGAAAGGACTGTAGTAGGACAAGCAAAAATATTTGCACTGTGTTGAACAGATGTGAGCCAGCAGTCAACAAAAGTGGCTTAACAAGATGTATCAATCAGAATGAAGTATTAAACCAGTAATTCATAATTAAAGCCTGATGTTGATGTGTGCTGAGTGCTTCTCAAGACATTTAGAGTGGCCTTTCATCACACTATCTATTGAGAAAGATGAGGAGCTTATCATTTTTTGGGAGTTGTTCAACTCCTCTTTGTTTTACAAAACATCAGCTTGGATGACAGAGAGTAAAACAGTCTTAGAATGTTAGAATGTTAGAATGCATCATAACCATCACCTGAGTTTTCCATGATTCTCAAACCAACACCATTTCATTTCCCCCTCTGTGCTCCTCTGTCAACCAAACCTGAATTATCCAGTGGTTTTTGTCAGCAAGTTCATATTTACTAATAATCCCATTAGTCATTCTCTGTAGTTTGAGTTCAGTATGTTCCAGGATAAAATAGAGCAGCTATCCACATAACATACCACAAAGTAGCACAGTTGGATCAGTAAGCAATTTCAGTGACCTTTACTGTTTGTCATCTGATAGGATAAAAGTCTAAAACAGCCCAGAAGAGGAGCTGGAGGTGGATGAAAAGATACAGATTATGCATGTCAGATTTTCCATTAGGAAAACAGGAGTTTTGTTGCCAGGAAGGCAGACAAGCAGAATATTCAGTGAATCTTTGCTCCTCCCCACGTCATTGCTGTTACCACTTGTTGCTTTGGAAGGTTGCTTGCTATGTCTATAAGCTATGCAGGAAGAAATGAAGTATCGCCAGGAAAGGTTTCTGGCAGAACAAGGATTACAGGTGCTTCATACCACAGCTCTGAAACTTTGAAATATAAGAACTTTCCATGATGAAACAGGAGATAAGCTGCTGAATCAAGTTTGGCAATTTCTTTCAAACGATGGTATTGAACAGACAGTAGAATGTGAAACAAGGAAATGTCATCCACCTGACTGCAGGCCAGATTTGAAAGTACTGTCAGGCATCATGAATGTGATGCATTTCTATCAACAGAGACTTTGACTATACAGTGCTTCTGCCATCATGTACCTTCACTTTCATATGCTCTGACATTTTTGCACCTGTTTTTAAACATGACAGGCATTACATGGGAGAGACAAGAGACAGTGGAGGTCACGCCACTCATTTTTGTCATTCAGAAGTGATCTATAGTGATTGTTGACTGCATGGGATCTATTCCCTCACTGCAGTTGGCTAAAATGCTTAGGCAGTTCAAGGCTAGCTGAGAAAACAGCTGAGCAGAGTAGTTGAGAAGTACTGGTTCACAAATCAATCTACAGCCTCCTAGTAAACACTGAAACCTTAGAGATATCACCCATGTCAAACATTCTAGAAGTTTCCCAGGTAACTTCTACCTGGCCCGAAAGAGCCCTGGCAGAATGTATGGATCCTTAGGGAAGAGCTTGTAACACAAAACTTGGCAAAGACATAAGGATATAAGCCTGTGGTTGAGGGAAGGGGCAGGAAAGAAGAACTCAGTGCTTCATCGTTTTGTGTTTGTGTATAATGTGTTGTAATATAACAACTTTGCTCTTGGCAGGCATGAATCCAGGTTTAAACAACGCATGCTGGAACTAACAGATACGAACAACATTGCCTACTTATTTCTATCGGCTGCCAACAGATGGCTGGAGGTCAGGACGGTACGTTCAGTTTAGTCCCAGCCATGGTTTTCAAACCTTGGAAGCAAACAGAGACTTAGCCTGATGTAGAGGATAAGACAGTAATGGGAATTAATCTCGCGTTGAGATTATGCACACTGATACTTAAAATAGATCAGGATTGTTTATGTTAAACACATTGGATTTTTTTCAGCTTTCTTGGACAGAAGTAAGAAAATATGAGCCTCCCTCATCTTTTGCTGTTGCGATGTCTACTGTCTGAAGAGAGTGCAAGAACAAACATTTACATAACTTGAAATAAGGCTTTCTCTACTACTGTGCAGCATCTGCAGACCTGCCCCTGTAACAGCTACTTTCAAAGCAGAGTGTGGCTTTTAAGTAATTTTGTGAGCCATGCAATCAGTCAGCCAGGGCTGTTACAGGCACCACAGTGTCTCCCCAGCAACAGGTTTAATCCCACAGCTGTGATTTAGAGGCTCTGTTTGCTGTGCCCTTATTTCTGCTGTGAGCTCATACTGTGTGTAATGTACAGAACTGTTCAATGTCACAAAAGACGTAGCAGAGCTTGGCTTCAACTTAAAAATGAATGACTCCTACCAACAGCACAGCCAGTGGCAGTGAGACAGGCTCCTGTTTTTTATAGGAGTTCTCCAATGACAGTGTGTGAGGAACTTCAGTGACTGGCATGAGGGCAAGCAAAATAATTCCATTATATAACTGATGCTAAAAGAGCAGTGAATGAACAGAGCTGTGATTTGATTTTGCCAGACACAAGTAGTTAAAAGGCACAATTCGTACTCTCGTCAAGGTTGTTATCCTCACCTTCACTGGTAGAGCAACAAAGTTGTGCTCCATTTCTTAAGATGTCAGAGCTTCCCCTTGTGCATGAAGCTATCAGCATGCGAGATCATGCTGAACTTGTTTCCACATCGAAGACAGATAAATAACAGAGACGCATCCAATCCTGGAATAAGCTGTGGCAATGCCCATTAATGTCTCAGTCTCAAACTTGCATATGTGTGGCGTGAAACTGATCCAAGAATACGCATTGCTTCATCATCTCATCAGAAATAATGTGGTGTCACCAAGGAGTAGTTCGTTTATCTCTGTCTAATCATGCAGTGGTACTGCATATCACTGAGAACTTCAGAAAGGACCAGTAGCAACTCGTCCCAGCTGCTCATGAAGACTCAAGAGCACTCTACTTCTATTTCCTTGCAGTTAAGTTAGAGTCTGTCATCTGGTCATCGACACATCCTACAGATAGATGAACAACAAAGCCCTCATTTCAAATCTCCGAGGGAAAGACTCCAGGCAGGACATTATCAAATAGGAGGAAAAAAATGGATGGAAAATGCTAACTTTGTAATCCAAAGTAAATATCATGCAGGGAACAGTGGGAGAGTAGGAACGCCAGCAGTCCCATGAATGAGGTACCTTGATGACTGCATGAGACCACTGTGTATCTGGCATTCACTTCAAAATGGAGATACACATCAAGAAAACTGGCTGAAGCTTTTAAAAAGCCTGTGAGAAGTTAGATCTGTCCAGTTCAATCTCCACAGCAATTTCTGCAAGAGCAAGGCTTACCAGACCAGATGCAGCCCCACAACTACACTGTTCTAATGCTTTGAGCTACTGCTACCAACAAGCAAATGGTGTTTTGCTGCAGGCTATGAACAGGCTTAGGGATGTCTTCCCCATGCACGGTGTCCCACTACATAATGTAGACACTTTACATCTGTCTGCCCAAAAAACATGTGCATTACTTGTGTAAATGCTGCCAAAATCCTTCATGGACTGATACTTCTGTTTTGGAAGGTAAATGCATGTTTGAGAAGATGTGAGAGAGAGTGGAAAGGAGTGGAATTTATTTGCTTTAAAGGTTGTAATTAAGGATGTTATGCCATTCTTATGATTTCTTTTCACGTGCTCATTACATTTTTTAATACCTCCTCTTCTGGGAGAAGCTACATGGAGACACTCCAGCCCAAATGGTTTTGAGAAAATACTGGCCTGTTTCATCTGTGTCCAGCAAGCTCCTGTAGGCTGTTTTGGACACCAAAAATCCTGGTCTTTTCCAGGAAAAACAACCCAAGTTTAAGGACTAGGTGTCATTACAGAAATAATCCTCGGTAAATTGAATGTGCTGTGCAACAGAAGAAATGTTATTATCAGTGAGTTTTAATGTTGTCTAGAATCTTTCTCTCTCCCTCTGTCTCATTTTAGGATTATCTTGGTGCTTGCATAGTTCTTACTGCAGCTATCACTTCCATCACCGAAGGGCCAAACTCAGGGTTTGTGGGGCTAGGTCTCCTGTACGCTCTGACGGTACGTATCAAAGCACAAGAACTTTGAGACCCATGTATTCATTTTATAGTAATTTAAAAAATACATATACATTATTATCTTCCAGCTTTCTTAATTGTGAAAAAAAAAAACAATCTTGCAAATAATGGATTCAAGCCAAAGTTGAAAGAGTTCAGAGCAACTTGGACTTGCTTCAGATTTTATGAGCCAATTAAAAAAACACAACCATTCCCAGGCCCTGTGTGCTCCCAAGCAGAGCAGAAAAATTTAAAATGCGTAAGAGGACCTGCTGTGCACTCTGTTTTGCACAAGACAGTGTTGGTTGCACTTGTACATGGCAAAACCTGCCAGATGCTCCTACCTCACAGGCTGTCATAAACATTGGTAATTTTTAACCAAAGACCAATGTAATCGTTGCTGATGAAGCTGAAATGCCAGTTCTGCCTTTGGATGGAATCTACTCAGATGCCCAATATTATTCATCCAGTTCTGAATGAATGTGGACATTGAGATTTTTAAAGCTAGTAGGCATGGTCCATCATGACAAGTAGCAGTAGGAAAGAGTAGGTGGGGTTAGGAAAGACAAGATTTTGGTGGCACGGTAACCAATTCATTTTAACTATATTGTGAGCAATTTAAGGTGAGTCACAGAAGAGTCCTTCAGCACAGTAGGCAGTAAAAGAGGCTGAGAGTGCATCATGGGCATAGCATGACTACTGTCATCACAGAGAGCAAAAATATAATTGAATTCACCAGAAGAGTGGGGATAAAAACAGGGATGAGGATAGTGGCAGGAAGAATTTTTTAAATCGTGGTTCGCACAATAAAGCTGGCTGCTTTATGCACTAGTAGGTGGAAGGTGGTGTCATATAGAGGATATGGGTATGGGCCTAGCGCCAAGATTTGGCTTTACCCTTAAATGCTGGTAAGCCCATGGTTGCAGCAGATGATTCCTGGCAGCTGCCTTAGGGTGGCCTTAGGTCCCCTTTGAGCCACTGTTACATCACTGTGAGCATCTGCCAGCAACTGAGAATCTGTCCCAGACTTTCAGCTTCATTCTGAAAACATTCCTGGTAATCCTGCTTCATTAGCAGAGATCTGGAAGCGCCAAGATGTCTGCATTGCCTTGGCTACTTTATACTTAATCTGTATTTGCAAACAGATCATTAGCGCAAATTAGCCGTTTTCTCAAGTCTGGCAGAGTAGCAAAAGTGGGAACCTGTCTTTCTCCTCCCTCACAATAGCTCTAGTGAAACCATGGATGCAGCTGGATCGTTGCCTGTCTCCTGACAGGTTTTGTATCATTTCTCTTTGGAACTAAGAGAGGGATGATGTTTGGACCTGGATAAGTGCAAGCTTTGTAGCAACATGGTGTTTATAGTAGGCATTCAGAAGCTTATTCTCTTCCCTTGTATAAACACTGCCAACTCTATTGCACAGCTGTGAAGAAGGCTGAAGGTATGGGCAGGGGCCTTTGAGATGCCAGACTCTTTTATCAAATCTGACAGAACTATGATTGTAGATACATTTCTGAATCAAAAGCTGGACAGAGATGTGTGTTTCTGAACAACAAATAGCTCATCACTCATCAGCAAGACAATCAACTAAATCCTCTAAATTCACAACAAATGTTATTGTTGACTCTTAGTGAAAAATATTTACTGTATGCCTACTGCATCTCTATAAGGTAAGTGGAAAAGAAGTGAAGCTGTGTGATTTATTCATAATAAACACCTTATTTGGCAGATTTAACAAGCAAATAAATGACAAAACAATTCTCCAAGTGTATTTGTTTGTAGGGTGTTCTTGTTAACTGAACTTTCCAAACACTTTTCCGGGTACATAAGTGGCTCAATTTTTAAAGGTGCTTGACTATCAAGAGTTTCTAATAAGACCAGTTTTTCTTTTTTTTATACAGGCCTCTACATAGAGACTTAGGAACATACGTTTAGGAAATTGCTTTACAATTATCTGTCTTGACTAGTCAGCCCTCACTAGGAGTCAGCTTCTCTAACCTACTGAGCTTTGTTCAACAATTAATTATCACCAGTTGCTTACTACAAGCAATATATTTACAATTTATCAAATCCTGCTTGACTACAACTGGTAATAAGAATAAATATAATAATACATAATATATATATAATATTATATGTATAATATATAATAAAAATAAAAGAATGAAAGAACAGTGAATTGATAATACATTTCTTCTCATACATTTCTATCAGAAAAAAAAAAAAAAAAAGGCAACACATTTTCCACAGAGATAAATGAATCATCTGAACACACACAGAAGGAAATAGAATTTAAGTGACCGTCAAATTCTTTTCAATATACTTGCAAACAGTCAACTTTCTTAATCTTTAGTTAGCCTTTGAAAGATTAGAAACTGCAACATTTACAAACAGTGTTGCCAGTTTTGATTTCTTCTGTGTCTGTGTGTTTAAAGAAAGTGCCTTCCAGTACTAGGGAGCAAGTGACTCTCCTAGTCAGTCACAGCTTGGCTCTGGGGGTATGATGTTTCCATCCTTCTCCTCCAAAAAAGAAGGATGAGAATACCAAGCAGTAAATTAATATGTCAGGGTTGTTGTTTGTGTTGGAGTATGACTGATCCGTTATGTATGTGATGCTGTTGCACTGAGTCTAGGACTGTTGCAATGTCAGTAATTGACCCACTGTTCTGGTTCAGGCCAAAGACTTTCACAAATTTATCTGACTTTTACTCAATCATATAGATGCACAGACAGAAATCTGAACCCTACCCTTTTTCTCTTTTTGTGATGTAGATAACCAACTATTTGAACTGGGTGGTGAGGAATCTGGCTGATCTGGAAGTACAGATGGGTGCTGTAAAAAAAGTACACAGCTTCTTGAACATGGAGTCGGAGAACTATGATGGCTACTTGGGTACTGCATTCTAAATTTTTGTGGTTTGTTTTGTTGTTTTTTTTTTTTTTTTGTGAGGCTTATTTTTCCTCTAGGATTGTTAAAGTGAGGACTGATTTGAATGACAAAGCTAGACAAAAGCAGCCATAAAATGCATAGACCAGTGCCTGTCAACAGAAATCAAAATGCAGGGATACAAAGCATGACACTGAAGTACAATCAGAATGTTTCAGGGCAAAACATCTGTGTAGCTAATCCATAAATGAAAAGACAGATGAAAACTAGAAATGCATTAAAATCCCTTGCTTTCAAATGCATGATCTTTGCAGAAAATGGGGGCTACAAGACAAAGGCATGGTGGTAGTCAGACCTTCCCTGAACCATTTGCTACTATTTGTTCTGCACGTATTTCAGATTGGCTTTGGTGTTTTAGAAGTGCAACGATGAAAAAGCTTGCAGGTCAGCAAGCTTCCTTGACAACCAAACTCCTTAGTAGAGACAAAACCTATCTACGTGTTTGCAAATCAGGATGACATATGAGCTGTGATAATGTCAACAGCTCAAATTGTCATGCAGTAACAACATCCTTCCTTCCACTCTCCTTCCTCTGTCGGTTACTGACCTCAGAGCACGTTTACACTGCACTGACCTTTTCTGTTTGCTTTGCTTCTCCCCAGTTCATTGCCAAGAGCTCCTTAGGCATTCACGCTCTCATCTTAGGTGTCGTGATTGGGAAGATAAGTGCTAATGTGACCATCAGGCAGTCCTGAAATCCCTTGGGAAACAGCCGGCGCATGCATCCTAGTAGAAGGCATTCCTTTACCCTAAGTGTATTTGGCATGAAACTGAAGGCTAGGTTTCTCAAGTGGTTTCATGAAGGCGTCCAGAAAGAGGGAGAGAAAAAGGAACTGTCATAAAAAGTGACCTTCTGATAGCATTTGTTTTGTTTTGTTCTGCTGTAACCGTTTCAGACCCTTCTCAAGTCCCAAAAGACTGGCCCCAAGAGGGGGAAATCAAGATTGAAAATTTGTGTGTGCGATACGAAAACAACCTGAAGCCTGTTCTCAAACATGTTAAAGCTTATATTAAACCAGGACAAAAGGTACTGTACAATTTCATATGATCCTCCTTATGGAGCAGGTCCTTCTTTATTTTGTTTTCTAACATAGCAGAAGAGCACGACTAAATGACAGTTTGCAGTGACAGTTATATGGACATGGGTCAGGAAACACACTGACAGCATCATTTATTGGCTGAGATCCATTTTCCATCTCAGACACCCATCTCTTTCCATGTCCACCCCCACTGCACAGAACGAGTGTAGTTGGTGAGATGAGAACAGGGGAACACCTAACAGGAGCAGAAAAAACACACAAGAACATCTTAAATTTCAGCATATAGTGTCATTGAAATCCAGATGAAGAATTCTGGCGTTTCAAAAATGTTCCTGGGATAAATGTTTCCAATCATTATTTTGCCAAAGAGAACTATTTTGTTTAAGCATTTTTGCCTAAATATCCCAATATACCTGAAAATATTAGGTTAAATTTCAGCTACTGAATTGTTATAAAATGTTCAAATCAAAGTAACATTAAATGTTATATTGCCCCATGGATTGAGTCAACAAGCAGAAATAATGAAATTCTATATGAACCAAACAAAAAATATTTTTCCCCCATGGTTAAAATTGCATTTATTCTGAGGACAATACATTGCAGAAATTGGATTTTACACTGTAAAAGAAAAATTGCTCAGCCGAGTACATATGTTTAAGTTCCTTGTCCAATCAGGACATCATTCAGAATGCATACATGCAAACCCATTGCATACAAATAAGAAACTCCACTGCATGCAAATTAGAGACATCATGATGTCCCACTGTGAAATAAATAGCACTCTTTTTTTATCAACTTGAAAATACCTAGCTTTTACTATGTGATAGATAGGACTGTTTAATAGAACAAGTGGGATTTTCTATCACGTGTTACATGAGTTCTTCACTGCACAGATGAAACCGCTTCACCATTCAGTTACAGGTCTCCGTGGATGTCAGCACTGCACAAACCACAAGGAGAAATTAAACAGGTTTTGTTTTTTATTATTTATTTCTGAAGATAAGGCGTGGTCCATAGCAGCCGAAGCATCACTTTAAATTAACATTTGTTAAATTATGTGGGTTTTTTTTCTGTTGTTGTCACCTGGAGGGTGGAGCAGTGTAATAATCTCTGCCTCACACTCCCCAGCATCAGTGACAGCCCAACCCCAGCTTTTACCTTTGTATTATTGCACAGTGCAATAATAGAACAGAAAGTGTGCTTGTCACAGTCTTCTGTTTTTATTCTAGTGTCTGCCACTGGCCATTGGGAAGAACCTTTCTTCTCATTAGAACAGCAGTCCAGTCCAGCTTTCTTAGGACCGCAAGTCTGACTTACAGCTGCCTTTTATATGGAACATCTTGTTTTCTTTTGCAGGTTGGGATCTGTGGTCGTACTGGCAGTGGCAAGTCATCCCTGTCTTTAGCATTCTTCAGAATGGTGGACATATTTGATGGTTAGTTTTCATTGGAGTATGTGTCTCCTGAGTCACTCCCTTCTAATTTCTTCAGAGAAAGCAAGGACACTTTCTGATAATTTATATCCTATCTCTCTGTCTCAGAAGATACTCAATTAGAATGGGGCTTGTTGTGCCTCATCACTCAAAGTACAAAGTGTCCTGTTGTGAGTAGCACTTGGTTCTTCCAGGAAACACTATGTACAGATTATACTTCCACATTTTAAAAAAAAATATTTTTTATTTTTGGCATTTGCTCTAACAAAACAATATGCCATTTTTGAGATAAGAGGGAAAATATGCAACTCTCCAGAGCTCTAAATTTCTCCCTAAAGAATAACTGCATTAACTTGTTATAACTGTGATAATATTAGTGGAGTAGAAATGAACTCAACAAATCCATTCCCTTGATAATTATTTTTTATTTTATAGCATTTTCCCACAGCTACATCAGAAACTGAATAAAGGTTTTGGAAACTTTTTGCTATGTTTCCACTCCTGCAGCATTTCACTCTCCTAGCTAATTGAAATGAACTAGTATGCAGCAATATGCACCCTGCAGTTATAATACAGATACACGTGAGCTGTTGGGGCGTATGGAAAACTACTGGAAATTCACTTTTTTTTTTTTTTTTTTTAAATGAAGATTTCCATGTTTCTAATTTGGTCATTGTATATCAAATGTTTACTAGGGAAGTCCCAGTAAGATGTGGGAGGATAAGTAATACTAATACTTGCTTTTGTTGTGGTTCTGTGCCTGTATGTATCTATGGCAATAGGTTTCTGATTCATTACTGGGGATCCTGGATATATAAATAGTGCAAACAGTTATATTTGTGCCCAACTTTCAGTTTCTTTCTCCTTTAATCTGCCTTCTATATCTTTTCTTTGTTCCTTCTGTGTCCTCGATTTTTCCCAATGGAAATGCTTAAGTCTTCTAATTGACCCCTGTTTGTCCTTTGTGCACAACCCTCTCTATGCCTCAGCTCAATCCATATTTAGTTTCTAAGCTGGCTCACTTCTGAGTGGAGTCCTGATTCTTAAAGAATTACATAACAAGATTTCGAATAAATTTACTGGGGCCAAAATTTCATTCATGGTACCCACCTTTGTTCCGTATGTCTTTGTTATTTCTTAAAATTTTTGTACGTTCCATGTTATTCCCCTATTTTCACTTCTTTATTTAGTGCGTTCCCTTTCTTGCCCTCTCTTTGAACCACCTATCTGTCTTCCTTGAGTACTTCTTGTTACTTTCCTGGTTTCCCAACTCCTCCCTACTTTTTCCTAAAAGTCCCCTCTCTCTGGCTTCTATCACAAATACATGATCTTGCTCCCACAGCATGCCACAGTAATATTTATCACAGAGTAACCTACAAAATGCAATATCATAAAAACTTGCAATTACAAAATGCCATACACGCAGCTTTGAAAATCCATGTATTTGCCAGTTTGTGGTTAGGTTGTCCCTAACAAATGAATGCAGGCACCTCCCAGGGCTGCATGCAGCCACTCCATGGAGTAATCCACAGGGAAAAGGAAGAGTTCAGCCTGATGAAAAATACCCCTTACAGTATCCTTATTCAATTTCCCCTGGTCCATCGCTTCCCCATATACAAAGGGAAGTTTCTATGTCCAGGGGAAGTCACTGACTTTGGTAGTTCCTGATTTTTCTTTGAGGAACCAAGGAAAAACTTCCTTTTATCCTTCCCACTTTCTTCTACTTATGGAGTATCCATCCCCAGTTTCTCTGGTACGTTTCTCCAGTCTCTCCACTCTGAATATCTGCAGTTGCCACAGCTAGCACACCATAAGTCAGATTTTCAGATGAGATCCATATGCTCTTTGACCTGAAGTAGTGACAAGAAATGGAAAAATCTTACTTTACTAAGTCTCTCAGCTCATACAACAACTTCTTGTATGGGAATGAACTACTGGTTTAAGGAGTGATTAATGTGACTGCTTCCAGTAATCTTATGCTAGAAGAACAGTATGTAGCTAGTTCACAACCAAATATTTAAGTAAAATAGATATGTAAGAACCACCATGAATGGTATTAAAATGCCTTGGAGTATGATATCCTTTTTTTTTTTTTTTCTGATCTGCCTCATGTTAAAAAGTTATGATTTTTGGCTCCTGATGTATTGACTGTAGATAAATACATGTGTTATGCAAAAGAAATAAGCAGAGATTACAGATCTCCTGCTACTGTTAAAGTCAAGAACAGAGGAAGATACAAAATGTGGCTAATTACTGTTGCTCTTGTTCTCACTCTGGCTGTAAACATTAGGTTTCCTCATAATAAATTATCCTTCCAGTGCTACTATTAATCACATAACACAGAAGCCACTAATTCCCTTTAAAGGAACTTGGGGGGGG